TTAATGCTGCAGCAAAAAAGCATTTATGGGTCAAAAAACAAACATCCAAAATCTTAGACGAGCGTGAGTCCCCGGAGGTAATTTGATCCTGTTACTTGTTGGGCGGTTTCGCTTTTTATTTTCAGATCCCCCCATAATAGAACTCAGCAGGACTTAAACAGGAGTGGGCGGACAAGCTGACTGTGGAGCTAAAAGGTGAGGTACACATGGTTATTGCCTCTGTCACTGTCAAACATAATCTTATACTATTTAAAACATTATACAGACTCTATTTCCCCCGGAAAAAGTTACACAGCTTTTTTTTTTATTATTATTATTATTTTTAATATTTTTATTGTTAATTATTGAAGTTTGTAGTGGATCAGTAATTTAACACATTCCCTCTGGTCATGCAGCAGACTTTACACATATTAGCATCTTTCATTGTTTTTCCGAGGCTTTCTGGAAGCATCGGGAACCTGATCCGCTCATAGCCATTCTTGGAACCAGCTCCAATTGTCTTTGGCCAATAACTATATAAAAATGGCTGTTTTGTTTGGAATGGCGAAAAAAAAGGAGAAAAAAAAAAAGTGGATCTTGCGAGTGTGGAAGATGGACTCACACACTTCATCTGGCGAGGCTGAGATTTTATAATGAAGAAGGAGGAGGTGTGTTTGGATAAGATCTTGGAGCCTATACTGAAAATTTCTGAGGGTAAAGGTTAATGTCTTGTGTCCAATAAAAAAGCAACTTGCCTTGTATTCCTTTTCCTTTTTTGGAAAAGTCTATTTTTTTCAGTTCTTTTTAAAGAAAACCTACTTTACACTTTGACTCTTGGTATTTGTTATTCCCTAGGATGTGCTGTGTTTGTTTTCTTTTTCTTTCTTTTCTTTCGTCTGATTAAACCAGCTCATGTACAAGGAAAGTAACAACATCGGGAATACAGGGAGCTCGATTTCATAGTTTCCTTTCTTGGGGTAACACATCCTAAATAAAGCCGGTTAGGACAAATTCAAGGGATTGACAAATGATTTGATCAGTCATGTGTAGTATTGCTTACATCTGTAAAATCCAAGAACCAAATCAAACAAATCAGTGTCTCCCTTTGTCCAGAAACTGGCCATTCGATGTAACGTGTAAACAGCAGGAAACCATCATGGGATTGAAGCTGATGAAAGACCTTTATATACACTCACCAAACACGTGGCGGCAGGGCCATAAATAAATTCCTGCAGGTAAAGCTCAGGAGGTCTTCAGGTACTGTTCACATCAAACATCAGAATGGAGAAAAAAAAATTGTGATCTCAGTGACTTTGACTGTGGCGTGATTGTTGATGACAGACAGGCCGGTTTGAGTGTTTCTGAAACTGCTGATCTCCTGGGATTCTCACTCACAAAACAGTCTCTGAAACAAAAAAACATCCAGTGAGCTGCAGCTCTGCAGACCGACACGTCATGTTGACGAGAGAGGTCAGAGGAGAATGCCCAGACATGCTGGAGCTGACAGAAAGGCTACGGTTACTCAGATAACCACTCTCTACAGCAGAAGATCGTGTCAGGTTCAAACGCTGTCAGCCAGGTACAGAAATCTGAGGCTGCGGTGGGAACAGACTCACTAACGAAGGACAGTTGAAGACAGAAAAATGTAGCGTGGTCTGATGAATCTGGATTTCTGCTGAGGGTCACAATTTGGCATTAACAGCATGAATCCATCCAACCTGCCTTGTGCCAACAGTCCAGGCTGGTGGTGATGGTGGTGTAATGGTGTGGGGAATGTTTTCTTGGCTCGCTGTGGGCCCCTTACTACCAATCAATCATGGTTCGAATGTCACAGCCTGTCCGACCGTATGCATCCCTCAATTTACCACAATTTGCTGGCTACTTCCAGCAGGACGAACGCTCCATGTCACAAAGCAAAAGTCGAATCAAAGAGTTTTTTTCATGAACATGACAGTGAGTTCGGTGAACCTCAGTACAGAACACACCTTTGGGATGTGGTAGAGCAGGAGACTGGCAGCGTGATTGTGCAGCTGACAAATCTGCAGAAATGATGCGATGCCGTCCTGTCAACACAAGACGAGGTTTTTTCTGGGTTAACATAATGGTCTGCTGGTAATGCTCAGTGCTGCACTCTTAAGTTATAACTCACTTCAGTCCATCAGCCTTAAATTTGGTACATACATTATAGACATGTTGAAGAAGAGATCATGTGAATTTCACTCTTTTAGAGTAGCCTGTGTTATGAATGTCTTATTGTATTTGACATATGAAATTAAAAAGACAAAAAACACAGAATGCGGCTTCTTTTTCTGAGTTTAAGACCTCACCAACTTGGACTAGGAGTAAGAAGAACATGCAGAATGAACCTCGAGAGTGTTATCTTTACAATGATACCATGAATGAGTTCTGAAGGATCTTGGAATTATAAGTAATTTAACACTTAAAAAAAACTTTTAAAAAAAATTAGCATATAAATACAGGCAGAAAAGCACATAGTCCTGAAGTGATCCTGCAGTTAACAAAGCCCCACCTGGAGCCAAACTTTGCAATTCTATGATTTTACTCACTCTCTTTCACACACACACACACACACACACACACACACACACACACACACACACCGACAAGCGTGTATGTATGTAAATCTCTTAGAGTTGCGTGAATTTTCGGAACTTGTGTTGTTAAAGGTCTGAGCTGAACCATCAAAGCTGAACGTATTGGTCTTGAATGTCTCCTGAATATTAATGTGTGACCCAGAGCTAAACTCCCGATCAGAAAATCTCTGCATGTGCGACTGTGGACTTCACCAGATAAAGTGAACAAAAGCTGTCCATGCTAAAAAAAAAAAAAAAAAGAAGAAGAGGGATCAAACACATGGGCGAGCGCACGTCAAGATATTATCATGATAATTTAGAAAATACTTTATTTTGTGTATTTCAGAGTTTTTTTTCATGAGTATCAGTTTATAAAAAGACAGGATTTTAGCTTAACACAGATACTACCCCCCCCACACACACACACTCAGATATGTCTTTTATGTATTGTTTACTTCACTTTAGATGCCTGACCTTCACTGTGCAGAATGACGTATGTGCAGAGTTTGACACTAAAAAGCTGCACTCACCTTAAATTTGAGACTTATACGTACAGCTGTGGTCCAGTGGGCGACTTACACAAGAGTGATGGGTTGGGGTGAGGGTTAACAAAAAAAAAGTTGAAAGGTCAAAAATCTGTGTCAAGATGTTTAAGTGACAGGAAATGGATCGATGATTTTAACTGACAATTAAGTATAAACGGACTTTTCATTGAATTAGGAGACGTCTTGAGTCCAGCAGTTAAACTTCTGAACCAGTTCGACGCTTTGAATTAGCATTTTTATGGATCCAGGATTTTTCAATGAGGGGAGAAAAGAATAGCTGTTAACTAGAAACAATATCAGACATCAAATTGTTATTGAAACATATCTAGAGGAGGCGTTCACTTCATCAGAAACTCCACCCAAAGCTCCACCTCCGAGCTGAAAGGGCAAGCTAAATGTAGACTCACAACCTGGGACTGTAAATTCTTAATAGGACCATAATGCTTTAATTCTTAATTCGTAAAACACTGACATTTTTTAATTATGCTTACGTGTTGTATTATAAGAGTTGCATATCAATACATGTAGGCTATGGCACCTTCACTATCAGATACATTATTGTGTATTGTCACAGCATTAAAAACTCTAACGTACAAATGCAACCCCATGATTCCTGCTGTGAAGACGACGAATACAATTCTGTGCATTTTTGAAAATGACCTCTATATATCCCAGAGTTTTGCTGATCCAGGACCAGTATTGCATGTGACCCTCTTCTAGCCTGTGGCCCTCCGAGTTAATAACAGGTGGTACTCCACACCAATTCTTCATTTATTCAGTCAATTAGAGCCACATATTACTGTGCGACTCAAAGCCTGAAAGTGAGAGGCTGAGATAATGAACACAGCCCACAGCGCTCACCAGCCTCCTCCTGTCTAATCAAGTCTAGGTGAAGTTCTCTCACTCCTCTTAGCACCACCGCGCGGCCTATGACAGCAGGTCTGAGGATGATTACACCGCCCTCACTGCTTGCATTACATTCATCTCAGTGATGGATAGGTTTCAGCGTTCGTGGAGATCTGCCCCAACAGGAGTCTGTGGAGGCCGGAGGAGTACACAGGGAGGAATCAATAATCTATTACTTTCACCTGCCTGTGTGTCTATAGGTGTGTGGAGCAATAAGCACACATAGTCCTCTGTAATATAACTTGTAATAAGATTGAAATTTGAATGATTTAAAAGACACTTTCAAAGATGGGCTACTGCGTGAGGACGGAGCCTCAGACACAGTGCCTGATGATGAAGTATGCTGAAAGTTCCCATGATGATTTAGAGTCACAAGCATAAAAAAAAATCCCTTCATCAAGAGCATTTTTAGGTGATTAATTAATAGTAAGTGTTTTTAGCTCAGAGCAAAAATACAAGAGGGATCCACCACAGATTTTCCTTACAGTGATTAAAAATTCACCCCTGACTATTTTAAAGACCTTTTCTCCTTTCAGAAAGACATGACTTTGTGTGTGCAGTCAGTATGGAAGTGGATTTGTCCTTTGCTGCAGGTTATCTTTGACTCTGTGCTGACATACACCTCACAGTGACAGTGTAACCTCTCAGATAATAGAAGGAACAGGTAATCCCATAATCACATTTTGTGGGATATAAAGCAAAAGTACCACTGGGCAGATACTCGGGGATTACAACCGCAGTCCAAATGTTTGATGAAAGGAAACAATAAAAAAAGAAAAAAAAGTTAAAAAGCACAGACAAGACCACAGGGATAGGATGTAGTTGGGTGTAGTGATTTACACACATCTAACATGCTCTCCTGTCTCTGTCTGAAATGGGAACACTCCAATGCACCAGCTCAGACACAGGTAGGGAAACACCACCACCACCATCACCATCACCACCATCACCACGCGTAAACAGCTGTTGCGCTTACCGATTCTGAGGACTTGTGCCGAGCTCAGACAGAGCTGCGCCGCCAAGAGAAGGTAGAAGAAAAGTCTCTTTCTTTCCTCCATAGTGCTCCAGGGGAACTCACCGCGAACGCTGACACCATGACAGAGAGACACGACCTCCACCCAAACGTCGGAACACCTGACGTGCCATAGCAGCGCGCAAGTTTTATTCCCACTTCGATCCTTTCCACTGTGCCATCATCACTCCGTCTCACCAAACAAATCACACAAAAAGAAAATACAGAAAAGAAAAAAAAAAAGATGAGGCTCTATAATGACATGAATCCAACTCTCCTGTATGAAATTGATCCAAGTCGCATCTTCAAAATAAAAACTGGCTTCAGAAAATAAAAAAGAAAGTCAGCCAGAGTGAACACGTCCACTTTTACTACTAGTTCATGCGCCTCCGGGGTGGCAGCAGATAGAGAGAGAGTGAGTGCAAGGATTAGTGTCAAGCGATGCAAAATCATATCAAGTTCCGGTGGTATTTTTCAAAATAAAAGCAACCTGAGCAACAGCCCACACCTGGTCACATTGGGATTGTGGAAACGGACATTTTAAATGGCGTCAAATGAAGCGTTTTTGTTCCATTATTCTAGTACTCAAAGGTGTTAGGCGTTTGTGGCCTGTATGGGACCACGTGGCATTCAGGTGCTTGGCTAAGGATACAGCTGTTCACCATGTAGGCCTATAGTAAAATAAACTATTTTCTGCACCTAAAACATATTTGCACCGTTTGAAGTAGGAATGGTTGGAAATATATATTAGCAGAAAATTATATTATAAGAAAATAATTATTTTATTATCATTATAATTATTATAATCATTGTCATCATTATTTATCCAAATAATGGGCACCTGCTTTTTTCTTCTTCTTTTTTTTAACCGGACAGATGAACCTTTACGCTGAAAGTACCCGTGGTCTCATTCGGCTTGTCTCTGGCTACTTTGGCTCAATTTGCTTTGGATTAAGGAGCAGATGGATTGGCAGTGGTTCACTCCACCGGTCCTGATGAGAGGAGAATAATCTTCAGGTTACAGGGCAGATGCCAGATTATCTCTCTCTGCAGACAAACAAGGTCTTTATCTCACTGGAGCACTGGACGCGCTCCCATCCAGTCGCAGGACCGCCGAAAGACAGTTACATGACATGGGGACGTCACCTGATGTGTTCCAACACATTCACAGCCACCTGAGTGAACACTGCATTTTCATTATTCTATTTTGTCAATGGACTGTCATAAAACTAAACTGACTGATGCAGCAGGTTTGTTAAGCCTGGACTCCTGTTTGTTATTGTGACATTTGAAGAAAAAAAAAAGAAAAAAGGAGGAGGCAAAGCTTCCTGGTGCCAGTCATCTCAAAAGTCTTAACTCTCCTCAAGCAAAAATCTGCACCACGTCAGAATTGACATTTTGTTTATCACAATGTTTGTGAACTCTGGCAAGGCTGGGAGCCAAATGATCTGAGAAAACCTGCCAATTCAACCTGGACCTCTGACAAACAGCCTATAGACAAACTTAATTAACTCGGAAAATGACCATCCAGCCTCTCCAGAAGGACTCCTTCGGCAACAATCCTCACTCCACACTAACCTGATATGAATACTGAGCAGGAAATGCCATACATGTAAATGTCTGCTGGTGCTGCATAATTACTGAATTAAAGAATTCACTTCAAAACAAACATATTTGGTTATTTACTTCATGGACAGTGATAAAATGAGGTCCATTCTGATAAAGGCAAATTTAATATCAAAGACATTTTGTCTTATCTAACTGTATATTTGTGTCTTATTTAGTGTGGGATTTCCTTGTGGTGTCTTATCTTATACCACGCCATGTTTTCACTAAATAAAATCCCCCTCAAAATATTTGTTCAGTAATCCATCAAGAGAGCATCGGATCCTTTATTCTTTTCTACACTTTAAACCAGAGACAATAGATTTTCCGCCTGAAACTGAATCTGCAAAATGATCTGGCATCCATCATTTTTATTTCATCAACTCAATGTGATCTTGCAATAACCTCTGCAAAGGAGGTTATGACGATAACGAAAACCCCTCGGTCTCCCTGTGAGAGAGAAAAGTTGGTTATTGAGCTTTATGTTATTGTTGCAGTAGGAAAAAAAAAAAAAAAACAGTCTCACCACTAAAAATGAAAAATAATTATCGCTTTCACACAAATTAAATTTAGAAAATTTATTTTAACATAAAAATGATAATACTCCACAGTTTTTATGTACGAACACAGTTTTAGTACAAAGGGAGGAAGTCAAAGGGGTTCTCACAGGATTTTCCTCCAAGGCCAGTTGATTGTACCTCACAGTCTGAACGTCCTTACTGGGCTGCATCTCCCAGTAAACTAAAGTCTAAGAAACCAGCATCATAATAAAAACCCAATAAAAACATCCAAAGTGTATCATTTCCCTCCACTCTCCTCGCTCTCTGCATCAGAGGAACTCGCAGATTCCCCCACCCCTCACAGTTGGGTATTAAGTGCATGTTCAATACATCCATTAAAAGGTGTGATGACTGTGTTGATCAACAGTGTGTTGCTGTGACGATGACTTATAGTGAAGCAGCACAGCCTGGTGGACAGGAGAAGAAATGCAGCAGAGGGGGGTGGAGTGGAAATAAAGTAAGGAGTGAAATCTGTCTCTTTGTGGTTTGTGATGCTGCCCGACATGACAGAGGTCAGAGGATGATGGAGAGACCAGAGGATGACGTCTGAATGGGTCAGAGGCGGACTGCATGATTGCTCCTCTCCTTGGAGTTACGGTACAGTCACTAACATGGCTCTGCTGGATACCGGTTTTCAAAAACGTCAAAAGAAAATTCAAGTAAAACAGGATTGTTGTAGGAAATATTCTGCTATTTATCAAGGACATGGAGCATGAAGAGAGTTTGGCCTCAGGGTCCAGTATATTTATGATCATACACTGGTCATCAAAATAAGAATGTCATGTTATTCGGGGCAACGAAAGTTAAGACTGGACCTTCATGTGAAGGACACAGGCGCTGGGTCTCTCAAGCCTGTTTCTGGCACCAAACACACAAACGGTGGTTTGTAACACTGGGCAGCTGAATGTGGTGTAAACATTAAAAATGACAGTAAAAATGCAATAATTAAATAAAGAATCGGCAGACTTATCTGTTGTCCAAACTATCTTTTTAAAAGGATATTCTAGGAGGCAAAAGTGAGCTTCAAAACATTTTTTTATACAAGGAGGTTAACGGCACTCTATCGTACTCCTGACTATACACCAATGTGCGGCTGATATTAAGTTAAAAATAATAAAAAGCACAATAAAGCTAGTCGGGTCTCACCATCTTCTCCACAGCAGTCGCTAAGCCAAAAGCCCCTGAAGAGAATCAGTAACACACAGCCCTTGAGTGTTAAAATACAAACACAGTTTCTGAGTCAGAAAAATATAACACCCACATTCCTGTGTTGAAAAATAGACATTTTTGGCCAGAAGGTCACAGTTCAGCGATGACGTCTCTTCAGTACAACGTGTGCATGGAACGGTAGCTGCCTAGAGTCTCTGTGTCTGTGCTTCTGTGTTCTATTATGCACTTACAGTGGACAAAACAACACACTGGCTTGTTTACTTGCGTGTGCATGCAGTGCCGTCTTGTTGATACGTTCACATACGATTTCACAGGTGCGTGAAATGCCTGGGTGTATGTCCGAGACAGTGAAGACTCTGTATTCTTTCTAGTTCCCTTTGAAGCAGCTCGGGATGAGAATCTCTAGGTCTCAAGATTCCTCAAATGAAGCCGAGTAGGTCTTTTTTTTTGTTCTTTACTCACTCGGTGTTTCGGTACTTTAGGATTGTTTGAATAGGGGAGATGCAGGTGAGGTGGGAAGAAGAGGGATGTGTTGTCACACAGGGAGAACTGGCTGAGGTTTAATACCTTCTATACAAGTGTTCTCCTTCTATAAATTTAAAGCTTGTATCCATTCTATCCCCCATTTTCTCGCACTTCTTAAGTGGAAGAAACCGCCATTCGTCTCCTTTCTTCATCTTGTTGTCTATCATTATTATTATTATTATTATTATTTCAGAAGACGTCACTGTTGCACCCGTTAGCATAGTCGTCCCGTCGCACCCAGACGACGTCATGGTCGTTGTTTGTGGCCTCCTCCGCAGCACACTGCTTCAACGGAGCAAGCTTTAGAGTCGGGGTCACACAGCGGGACAGAGAGACACCACAGGCGGTGAAGGAGTCTACCACGCCTGAACCATCACCGTGCTTTATCCGATCAACTTCCTCCTGTGTCAGACTCTGTGCGATCTCACCTCGAGTGTCTACCTGTCCGTTCAGGTTGTGGCTCCTCACCTCTCCGCCCTCTAGGTCGAGTCCCTCCATCTTCCCCTCCAGGTCGGCCGGTTCTGCCGACGCAGCTCGGACAGACTTGCAGTACTCGTCATCGTCACTTAAAATGTCCGTCTCCTTCACCTGCCCCACGCCGATGCCCTCGCCCTGGTCTTCGTAGCAACCGAGGTCAAACTGCTCTTCCACCCATCGGTCTGTGTCCTCTCCTTGAGGTTTGTGGGGTTGGAGGAGGGCGTGCTGGAACAGAGGCGAGCAGGACGAAGGGTAGGAGGGGTCGGAATCGTTGCTGTTGTTGTTGTTGCCATGGAAAACCAGGTCTGTATCGATGGTGAAGCGGTTCCTCACCAGCTTCCTGCGGGCTAGCGTTCGAGATGGAGCCGAAGCTGAACAGAGAAAAAGAAAAAAAGGGACACCTCATTTTATTTTGGTGGTGTCAGGTACAAACATTGTTACAGACGATGTAAGTCTTCAGAGCTATTGGCACGACATGTTGGTCCTTCGTTCTTGGTTCCAACGTAAACTAGAAGATATACTACAGCTTTGTCACCTGCTCTGTTCATGGCGGGCCGTGCTCCTTTGAGGGCACACAGGCGTTTGCCCCCGAACGGGACATACTGCTGGTTGGGCGGGAGAGACTCGGTCTTAAGAAGCTGGCGGCGCTGCTTCTCCCTAAGGATGGAGTGGACTGCTTTCAGGAAGTCCTTCTTACTATCTGGAGAACTGCAAATCACACAAAAACACAACACAAGAAATAATATGCGAGGGAATGTCATATACCTTTCAGTTCACAGGTTTTGAATACATGTGTACAGTTTAAGAATAAATAAATAAATAAATAAATAAATAAATCATACCTGCAGCACAACTGGAAGGTTCTCTCTGGTCTTCCTTCAGATTCGGATCTTGTGTGAACTATCTCACAGACTGCTGTACCCTCCGAGTCTGAGAGAGGGAGACAGGAGCAGAGAGGAGAGATGTGATCTATATTTATAAAAGCATTCAGTTAATTCCTATCATCAATTTCTTTCCCTTTAACAACAAGCCATTAGGCAGATAAACGGTCATACTCGAGCTGTATTGCCAGAGGCTGAATTAAGGTTCATCTAAGACGGAGATAGGAGGCAGGGAAGACAGCATGCAGACCTACTAATGGGTATTTATCAGTTTTGTTTACAAAAGGTTGTCATTTATTTTCTGTGGGAGAGAGAAACAGCTACACTGAGTGGACTCAGGGGGATTTGAAGCTACAGTCAGAATGATTTGGGTCATGAGAAACAACGGTTGTGGTTTGGGTGACGGACTCTCACATGAAAATGATCTTTGCAATGACGTCAACATAAAAGTGCAGAATACATTTCTGAAGAACAGTATGGTTAGGGGCTTATGTGCACTTTCAGTGGTGAGAAAATCTACTGCAGAAAGGAGCAAAAATTCAGTTCAGGCATTGCCAAAATATTAATTATAATGTCCAATTTCTTCCTTGTGAGAATAAATTAACTTTCACTAATAAGAGACTCTCAGTGCAAATTCAAGTTTCTTAGTTCAGACACATTTTCTCACAAAATGACGTGTAATATATTTATTTCTGCATTAAACAGTCTGTAGCAAATGCATAAATCCACAATCCCTTCATAAGTTTTCCCACTGAACAGACTTTCATTATGGAGACATCTGACCGACTGAATCAATTTTCAGGCCCGGAGTCTCCACATGGTGCTTCAAAGAGTTTTGTCTAAACATTTAATTTCTTGTCCAATACATGTTTTAAACTAATTAGCAGATAATGAACAAACTAAATCTGAAGAAGTGAGTCATATTTATCCAAAAGCTCCGATACCGACTGATCCCTGAGCCGCCACTGATCCCAGCAGCAATTTTAGTGGCTTTTCTGAGAGGCACAATCAGTCCTTGAACTGTTCTTTTACCTTGAGGAATTGCGAAAGCGAGATTAAAATTACTGTAAGTAACTCTATACTTGTCGACTTACTTGCAAGGGCACGGACTTGCAGAGAGTCTGTCGCGATCATGTGACGGAAACGGAAAGGATCCTTGTCGTCGCTCACAGACGCACGGTGAGATCCACCCTGGAAAAAAAGAAAAAGAGACAGGGTGGATATGGAATATATAACTGCTGCAATACATCAACCTGACAGCAGAGAGCGCACGAGTGCAATGAGAGAGGGGGCGGTTTAACAGACTGACCCATCTACTGTGCTGTACTAAAGGGAACAGTAAAGTGAGCATATAAAGTCTCTTTGGTCTATTTAATTGCCAATAACTACCCTCACCATTCAATAACTCAGTCCATTGTCCCATGATGCAGAACATTAACCTTAATTTCTTTGTGGTCTCAATGTGCTATACAAGTTAAAAAAAACAAAACAAAAGGACATTAAAAAAAAAGCATTTCAAAAGGAAACAGTCCCAAATCTGCACAGTACACCCTCCAACAAAGTGCGTTTCACACTGGAATTAATCAGCAGGAAATGAGAAAAATAGAACTTACCATTTTTTTCCTGTGCTTGGAGCAGTCTTTGTAGACAAATACAACTGCCGTTTTGAACACTAAATGGAGGGCAAGGGAGAGATGAAGAGGGAAATGAAAGAAACCATTAGGAGGGTCTGCATTCTTTTATCGCATATATCAAAAAGACATTTCATGACCAAAATTAACAGCAGTGACAGCTTAGTGCAGCACATCAGTGGATGCTTTTAGTTACAGCCTTTCCAGGAAAAATGGAAAACTAACTACTGGCGTACGTTATCAGCAGGACAAAAGACGAAAATGGACCAAAGTCACGACATCGCATGCACAAAGCAACCATGTTCCCTCATGATCACCTTGTCCGGGAACTCCCACACCATGTGGATGTAATATTTATTGCCAAAAGTGTCTGAGCCGAGTGAAATGTTGGCGACAGAGGGCACTTCTGAGTGTGTGAGAATTTCATTTGATCCCATCAGTGTGAGGATGACATGCTGCATGCTCCTTATGTAATATGCCCGACTGGGTTTTCCTTTTACCTCGTCCATTTCTTCTCCTTCTAAAATAGCACCCAGCATCACACTATGCATGACAGCATTGTGCGAGATGCAGCTAAGTGCCGTGTGCCAGGAAGTGTCAAGATTTGCTTATATAGTTTATTTAGAGCACAGAAATTTCAAGCACACAGAAGAACTGCTGAGAAAAGTGTCACTGCATATCTACGGTAAAATCATATAAAAAATATTTGTTTACTCATCTAACAACGACAAAAACATCCCACACCGCTTTAGTGCTACAGATCATGTGTCCATCTGAAATCCTGCAGATGTGACAGGATTTTTCAAAGCTACATAAACATTTTGATCAATTCTGTGCATAGAAAAAAGCATTTCACAAACTATTTTGTAAATATTCACACTGACAAACACTGACATTGAGAAATGTCTGTGGAGATGGAGTTGACAATATCAGCTAGAATGCAACCAAACCCAACAGCAAAGCAATTAATTCTACCTTTAGAAGCTTAGGTAAGGTTTATCAGTATATTAGGATATACTCCAAGGCCGCTGAATGTGTTTGGGAGTGGATGTAGCTAGGTTCATTTAGAAAACTCAATTTAACATTTGTGAATAAAGACTGGTGTGAATGTACAACCCAATCTAAAAGAAATGTCTGTATAAAGGAAGCCAATAAAAGCCAGAATCAGTTCCACTAAATTAATCTGAAAACACATTCATCTTTACCAAAAGCAGCCAAATCTGGGTCCTTTTTGCTCTTGACCAGTGAGGCTGGCGGGTTGATCCACACCACTGTAGAATGTAGCAAAAGATCCCCCATTGAGAGGTCAGCCACCTGAGAGAAAGAGAAGCAATAAAACAGATTGCAAAATGTTCATTTTAGTCAGTGGATGATTCATTGGATTCATGATGGATCACCCTGAACAAACATGTTCACCTCTTTTTTATCTGCGGTCTGTTCATTGATGAGCTGGTCGAAAACAGCTCCGTACTCCTCGTGAAGCTTTTGCATCTCGTTGATGTGGCTCGCAACCTTGTTCATGGCCTTCATTGCAACTGAATGGGACAAACACTCATCATCTCCAAATCATAGCTACCACAGGTTCTTGTATCCTTGTTAATTATTAGTTCCACAATTTTAAAAGACTTACCATCCAGGTGGTAGTGCTCCTCACTGTCCGGGTCAGTGAGAGAATAGAGTTCCTTCAGCAGCAGCGGGTACTTCAGGACCCTCTGGATGGGTTTGATTAGGTAAGACTCCAGAGTGGATGAATGTTGCTGTCTGGGGTTCCTCTCAGCCAGGAAAGCCTTGAAATCTGGGTCGGTCTTTGCTGGAGGGGCAGAAATCTGAGTTTTCATTCTTTCTCTACAGTGGTGCAAGGAAATACAGACAACTGCAACAGAAAGATAAGCCACTGCTCCTGCACAGAAGATAAAAACTATCAAACGAAAAAAAAAAAAAAATGCAGCGCTCTACTGTACTTTCAAATGTCTCTGGACAGCACGATCACACACGCTGCCTCATCATGTGCTGATTCCAGTTGCAGCTTGTCTTCTGCACTGCAAGGCATATGACTAAAAACAACATGCTTCCTCTACTACACTTGCCCCTTAGCTATCAAATGCCACTGACAGCACAGAGCAATAAACTATGTTGGCTGTGTGCTTGATGCCAGTCAAGAGAGTCTGCATGTTTTTACCTTTAGCCAGGACCTTTGGCACCTTGGTGTGACTGGCGCAGAAGGCGCTGTAGATCTTGAAGCGATCGGCATAATACAGAAATGAACCACCCAAGGAGAACAGCACTTTCTGTGGAGACAGATGAGAGTGTCAGGCTATTGCAACCGCAGCCTCTTTGCTTTCAATCTCGGGAATTTGATTTTTGTGTAGCAGTTGGGCAAATAAGAAAATGTCTCAATCATGTTTGATCCATTTAGAGTCAAAGTGAATGAAGTGTTTTGTTTGTGTGGGCCACAGCAGTGAGGGAAATGTAAATGTGGGGAAATTCATCTTTTTTACTGCCGACCCTGGACAGAAGAAGTCAGAGCAAACATGTCTGCACAACTGAAATAAAACCATAAGCCATATATTGGGAAATATCAAGTAAAAGCCACTTCTACACAGATTCTAAACACCTAGCGGAAGTAAGTAAATAATGATGAGTGTAGTTCAAGGAATCGACCTTCCTTTACCTTAAATTGCTCCACCCTTTCCAGTCTGTCCAGATCTGGCACCAGTCTGATTCCATCTTCCAGTGTCCGGAGAAACTCCACCTGGAACTCCACCATCTCCGCGAGGTTACCGAACAAAACGTCCAGCTGCAACAAACACGGAGCATCATTCTGACACTGCTATTACCTTAAGAGCATTCTCAATGCTTGGGTTATGTATATCTATATAACAATTCAAATACAGTTTTTTTTTTTTTTTTATTCTCGGATTATATAGATCATGTGGAAAGTACCTCATCCTGTGTAAGGAAGCTCTCCTTCTGCAAAGGTGTCAAGTAGCATTCTATCAGGCAGCTCAGGTCCTGAAAAAAAGACAAGGAAGATGAACAACAGCCTGTGATGAGAGGTTCAAGAAGGAATGAGGCAGGGCATGTCGGGGCTTCTCTTGATGTGAAGGCTGGTTAATGTGGGGTGATTACTGAGAATTTTACATAAACAGAAAGAAATCAGCTCGAACAGGTATGAACATATTCGTCCATGACAGGAAAAGCATGTCGACATTCTGCATAGCTGTTACGATGATTATGACAAACCCAACAACAATAGCTGAGTGTGGTTTTACTGGAACAGTTTGTGTGCGATTGTGCGTCCATTATCATCAAACAGATACGTACACGCAAGGCTGACTCAGTAGGTATCAATTAAAGGATTGCCTTCTATAAATCAAACCCTGCAGAGAGTTTGTACTCACTTTGACGTAAGTCTTCTCTGTGTCTACAAGTTCATTGATGACCTTGCGAAGCTTGTCCGCGTGGGAGAGCTGCCTCTGAGTGGCAGTTCCTGCTGTGGGCGGCAAAGCTGACACGGGGCTCGGCGAGAGGGATGATGAAGACGACGATGAAGAGCATGACATAGGGCACTCCAGGGGATTCATGTCATGGAGACTGCGGCAGAAAGCAGTGACCTGCTCCGTGCTCTGAACAGACAGAGACAAAAAGAAATAGGAAATGTCATATTGAACACATTTTTAGGAATCATTTTATGCCGGAGAAGGCTGCTGCTATTAGCGTGTTTTTGACATGTTAAAAAGTATCTGTCCTCTGAAGAGCTACTGTAAGAATAACAGACAGGCTCCCTAATAAAAATCATTTACTAGATGTAGGTTTGTGCAGATGAGTAAAATGCAAAACAAGGACATTGCGCGCACACACACACACACACACACACACACACACACACACACACACACACACTCATACTGCTCATACTACAAACTGGAAAATATGCACCACCAACAATAAATACAGTACATTCTTGCAAAACCTGCCATAACAACACCCACCTACACCCCTGGTATCAAAAATACCAAGCATGAGCAGACCTGCCAAGGCAAACTGGTCGAAAGCCTAATGTAAAAAAAAAAGTAAAAAAAAAAAATTGAATTGAATTGAATAGGGGCTCTTCTCCTCCAACTCTCTCTGGCTGCACAGACCAATATTAGTTCAGGTCATACAGTGCATATTCAGCGATCATGAGTCGAGATTCATAAGAAACTGGGCTTTTCAAAGTGAGGCTCAACAATTTCTGGAAAAGGCTCAAAGGAATCATCCAAGGTACTGCTGTGCAACAGCAGTTTGAGAATTACACATTGGAACCCACACAGGAGCATAAATAGTGAGGATCAAAAAGGTTCTGTCCACCTCTTTCATAGTCTTTCATCATCCCAAGGCTGTGAAGGTGAACACGACATGTGTGTAGGCACCGGAGATAGAAAAACAGAGAGAAGGTGACACAGAAGAATCATCAGAATTGAGAGGCAGGATGTGTTAAAGTATGAGTAATACAGCCCATTATTCCTTCAGTACTGAAAACTATTGTTAATCTTTCCTATGTCTGCAAATACAACCTCATTATTTACTTCCTATGATAAAAAAAGCCACCATCTCTTGATTTACATCCATCATTGGTGAATCTGTGGTTTGATGGGATTGTTTGCTGGCCAAGTCCAGACAGGCTGTTGCTAGGAGTGTGAGGTCTAAGAGATGTATATCTTTTTACTTTCCTTGCTCAGTCAGGACTAATGGATTAAAATTAAAAGACAAATTAGGAGAAAAAGAAAGAATCTCCTTTAAATGTGGTGGAATGAATGAGCTCAGCCCACACACCAAACAGTAACTGCAGGTGATTTATGCTCCATGTCTCATTTAATGTTACTCCTGTCAAGACCAACGCTACACACCCAATCCTCACCTTTACAACACTCATAACCATCCGAGCCATGAACTTAACCGTCATTCACAAAATAAACATTTGAAGAAATGAGGAGCAACATGATTCAATAGAGCGTGACATTTAGGAGTTTCTTTTCCTGTGAGGTATTTTAGACTCTGCAGCACTGAAAAAGCACAAAACTAGGCACAGTGAATTATTGCAGTGAGATTCTTCTTCATATATACAGATTTTGGCTTGCAGCACTTGATGCATCAAACACAAGAGCAGGAGCAATCCAATTTTCAGCTATCATTTAGTTTGATGGGATTAATACTTCTAATTCAACCCTGAAGTCATCAGTGTTATTCATAGAAGTGACTTCTGCAGATGTTTTTCAACACAAACATCCCTCATCTGTGTGTGTGTGCATGTGTGTGGTCAGTGAAAGTGTTCATTAATTGTAATCCGTGATAACACACTGCGCCTGCTTGTGCGGTTCCCACTGACTGATTTACAGACAGCTGGTTAAACTGGAGACATGGCTTGTCTTTGCTGATTCCATGGCTCGTCTCCTGTCGAGCTGCAGCAATGACAAACACAATTTCCATTGTGGTATTCAAACCAGTTTCGCAACTCTGCTGGATCCACGCACAAACACACAGACACACAAACACACACAAACACACACATGCTGATATTGACATTCCTTAAAAGGAAACCACAAGAGCTACCACACAATAAACCAAAACAGAATGTAATGCTAATAAAATTATACACCTATCTGATCATTTCCTTGCTAAAGTCTAAGTCATCGATGCTGCATTGTGAGCTTCACTTACAGAGGGCTAGTCATGTTAGAACATTCAAAGTATCTATTATCTCCTCAAATTGTTCTCACTTAAAGAGACACACACATAATGTAATTGACCTTGTGGTTAATATTCAAACATATCAAGTATGAAATGCTCAACACTGTTATCTTGTCACTGTATATCTTAACACACAAAACAACAACAGGGCAACGACATTAATAGTCTTGCCACTTATAAGCGAGGTCTTGCCCTTGACAGCCAGAGGAATTAGTGACAGATGGAGCAGAGGAAGATGACAGCGGGAGATGGAGGCAGAGGAATGGAATGGAGAAGATTGGCCGCATAACACCTCGCCATCGCCATTAATTAAGCAGCAAAGAGAAGAGATATTAGCCTAATGAACCAATCATATTAATACAGAAAATGTTGATACACATGTCAAAAACTGCATCTAAACAACTGAGGCTATTGTTAGATTCTTTTTTTGCAGCACTGAATCTTGTAGCACAGTGATGGTTAGTTAACAAGTAATGTTTTTGGGTTTTTCATTCCATTCAAATATAAAACAGAGTGATAAGATATGGTGAGATCTGAAAGCTGCAGTTCGTGTAATCACATGAAATTGTTCAAATGTGTTGCTCCACTGGGAACTGAACCTCTAACCTCAGCATGGTACCATGACATAATCACTGACCTTTGTAGGTCCAAATCCAAAACACAAGCCAGTAAATACTCACACAGTCTCTCTCTCACACACACACACACACCAGACTGCACGGCTCACCAGCTGTAACATATCATAGATGGATTCGGTCGAGCGCTTGCAGTTCCTGCTCCTCCTAAAGGCTGACATGCCGACAGGTCAAACAGAGTTCAATAAGAGGTCAGGTGTCCGTTTCCTGTCCAGCTTTTTCCAGTCCAGGTATCTCCCATTCCTCCGAGCCACTCGGCGCCTGAAGACTTCGGTTTTTTTTTTTAGCCTTCCTATCAAAAATCTACGACCTGTGCAGGATGTGTGGAGTTTTAACTTGTCCACCCAAACTGACCTAAAGTTGAGAAGTAAATGCCTGCTATTTAACACTCACACTGCACTCACTGCTGAACAAATAGGTCATTACACAGATTGAATTGAACAGATTGCAATAAACAACAGCGCTCTCATGTCACCTTATCCTACAGCGTCTATCCAATCAGTCTCTCTCTCCCTCTCTCTCTCTCTCTCTCTCAACCCCCCCCCCCGACTGCCTGTGCCTGCTCCTCTGTCAACTCCCCGTTTATACTCTCTCTTCTTCTCTCTTTCTCTGTCCTTGTTGCCTGTCTCACTTCTGTCCAGGTGTTTGAAAGCAGCAGCAGCAGCAGCAGCAGCAGCGTAGAATACAACATTAAGAAAAACAAGATCAAACATCACATCCTCGTGAGAGATGGAAGAAAAGAAGGGAGGAGAAAAGGAAGGAGGGGAGAATGGAAGGTGAGGAAGCAGTGGGTGGTGAGAGCCAAACACTCCCAACAGGAAAAGACAACAGGCATCTAGCTTCTCTCTCTCTCTCTCTCTCTCTCTCTCTCATCGCAGCTGAGAGAGACTTATGTCACCACACTTGAGGAGGACAGCAAGCAGCCTTATAACACAAAAGGTAATCATTGCGTATTTGAGCTCAGTCTCATGTTTCCAAAACGAGTCTCTGCAATGCCCTAAGCTTTAACTCTGTGCTAACAGTGTAATATAATGTTTCAGAAAGATTGCCAAGATTAAAAGGGAACAAATCTGGACACTAATTTGAATTAAAAACACACCTAGCAAAATGAGAAATGCCCTGATACACTAATAATCTTATTATGGTTGTCAAAGCAGCTTGAAGTAAAATCTACAAATGATATTTGAATCAGGTCTGACCAGAGTTTCAAGTTTCTCAATCACATAATTGCTTCAATCTAGACCCTTGTCAGTCCAGGTGGATACCACACCTGCTACACACTTGTCATTCCTGAGAAACAGGAGTTATGTAATCCATTCAGGAGTAAGACCGCGCCTTAATCCCGATTGATTTGCACATCTGACAGCAGAGATAAAAAAATTAAAAAAAATGTTACGGATGTTGAATATAAAAGGGTCGAGGTTTTTCTTCACCCACTGAGCATGAATAGCAGTTGATATATTTTTTTAAAATTATGATTAAAATCTTAGTTAAAACTGATCTTTATCTTCAAGAAGGATACTTAGCCTTCTATTAAATCAAAGTGTGGTTTTAATGATCTGATGAAGTCTGATAAAAAGGAACCTTCTTCTTTGTTAATTACTAAATCAATTAGCAGCAAATGAGCACATGTGCACACTCACTGACCTACTGCACACACACGCACACACACAGTACACAACACTGACCTCAGACGTGTGAAAACAAGCTAACAGCATAGCAAAGAATACATAAACAAACAACTAGAGGCAGGCGGAATAAAAGAGAGCCCAGACAGCAATACCTTTTTTTCCTAGTAGGTCCAATACATGCATTTGCTAAACCCCAGAAAATAAATCCTCACCTTTTTACAAAATGTACCACATCCCCGACCCGCCCTTCAGAACAGAGAGGGAGAGAAGTGCAGCATGAGGGAGGGGCGTGGAGGCAAGCTCAAACCTGCTCTCACACCCACCAGCTGCAACCATGCACAGTGAGAGCCAGGATAAACAGAGATTACACATATCCACATACTTGGCATACTGAAAACACATCACACACACGTTTATGCACACATCGGTATCATGCATTATGACATGTGTCAGTAGACACATGTAATAGGAATACAGAAGTACAGCACTTTTGAAGGCATGCCTCTAATCCCACCTTGGACATTGTTTCTCAGAGAGAACAGGCATGTACTTGTCCATGTCAGCGAACACAGAGGGGGGGATGGAAGGGGACAGGAAGGGAGGGGAGGGGAGAGTCTTAAAGTTCAGTTTCATCATCTGAAATGAGGGAAACATGCAAATCCATAAATCCCTATGAGGAATGATGGGATATACGTCATGACAGAGGGAGCAGGCCAGCGAGAGCGAGAGCGACTTTAATCATTTAATCTGAATTGAAAGGATGATGATGTTATGACATCAGTGTTCACAAATCTATGTTTGAACATTTAGACTCTGAAGCAGCCGAGTTGTGGACTCCAAGCTTCTTCCTACAACTCCGGGAAGTTATGAGGATAAAGCGGATGTCAAGTGCAAGGCATTTTTCTTTCTTTCTTTCCTTAAAGGACTAGTTACTACTTAATAACAGGACAGAAGAAGATTCAGTATCGTGTTTAATCTGTATCATATTATCATAGATTACACAAGGAATACAATCAAGAAATGATTGTGTAATGAAATATTCCAATCAGTCCTGATAATGATAGTTGATTAAGTTTGAAACAGATCGGTTGTTGGCTGCATGCTTAGTATTAGACACATTATTGTTGTGTTGCTGGCTTCATTAATCAGCACAGAGCTCCCTCTAGTGGAAGACTGTAAAATTACAGCAACAACTGGGACAAAGCTGCAAGGCCTGTTTAGAGGGCAGCGACAAGAGACAAGAGAGAGGACGATTTAAAGATGATTATTTTAAGGCTAAAGATATACAGCACTTTTATTTATCGACTCTTAGTAGTCAGTAACTGCATTAAACAATACATGCATTTAATTTAACTACATTGAACGCAAAGAGCTATTTAACCAGAATAACACCATCAGGAGTCAATCAAAACAAACCTTGATGAAAGCTGCCCCCCCACGACCACCCTTCAGATACTGAATAATGTATTTTCCATTTCAAATGCCCCTAAGCCAAACTGATAGAGGTTTGTAAATTATAACCAGCACTTGTCAGTGATGCTGACTACACCTCGGAGAACACTAGCAATCACAGTCATCTCTATTATCGCTGTTTTATCCTGAGCAATCATTGTTTTATTCTCTGGTTGGTTTATCATATTGAGGAGGTGGCTCTGTGCTTTGTCTAAAATAATGAACCTCCCTGTTTCCTCCGGCTAGCCAGACACTCATTTATCTCCACTAAATGATGTGAAACACTGGAGAATGAAGTAATTAGAATGTGGGGATAATTAAAATTGTCCCACTTTTCCTCTTTTTCCTCAGTCTTGCCACAGTGTAACCGCAGGCTCTGGGTGAAATGAGGTAAGACGTGATCCTCGACGCTTCTTTCCAATGAGCAGAGCGAGGGAAACAAAGGCGTAATCAACATGGAGGGGGGTAAAAAGATTTTTTTAATTTTTTTTAAAACAGAAATTACATGGTTTTGGAAGCTCCCTGGGATTCTGTGGCAAGTTTGGATTGTCTTTGTTGACAGAGGAAGCTTCCAAGTGCTTCACGCTCAGGTCGGGGCTCATAGCCGACCGGAGAGCTAAAGGAGCAGAAACAGTTTGAGAGCCAACAGCAGCCTCATGTTGTTTATGATAATGAACAGCAGGGGGTTAGTGAGGAGGAGGGTAAGGAAGGACAGGAAGTCAGAAGGAAACTGGAAGGACATGAAAAAAGAAAAAGAAAAAAGCATCCAAAACAAAGGACGGCAGATAAGGAGACAGGATGATCGGAAAGGACAAAGAGGAAAAACACTGAGCTGTCGCGTCTGAGGACGTGGTCACATTGTTGCTCTGAACCATGGAGACAAAATATATGGCAATAAATCCCCAAAAACCAAAGGAAAAAGAGGGGTAGAGGAAACGGAGGATGAATAAAGGAGGCGAAAACAGACAGCAGATGGAAATTAGGACAGAAATCAGACAGCACATGTTAGACTGGAGCAGGGGGCGTGAGACTGAAAGGTGAGATGAAGATCATAGACTTACAGAGCTTCTGTTTTTGCCTATATCGCCTCACTTGCAGGGCTTTGTTTTTGCTTCTATATTTACATGAAGCAGCCTCTGATAATAAACCAAAAAGCACAAGCTAAGCATTAATCGCCAAGGGACAACATTACTGACAAGGGTAAGCAACATTCTTGTCGTTATTGTGTCTCCAAAGGGACTACATGATTTCAGATGTGGGATCTACACCTCATCAGCTAGTCTACTGGCTGATGAACAAACATGGTGTTCATTTTGTGCTGACTGTGCTGAGGTCCAAACTGTTTTGTTAAGTTTAAAATGGCCCCCCCCCCCCCCGCTCACATCTTGTGCACTGAAACAGACTTAAGCAGGCCTCTCATCGCTATCCAGCACATCCTGGCAACCCGATCCGTCGGTGCTTCTCTCATCTTCTCATACTTTCCTTCCAACTAATAATGGCACATTGGAGTCACAGAACCACCACTGTCCAACAGGATGGAGTCTAGACTAGAGCCGGCTCTGACCTCACACATTAGTTCTCCCTCGAAACTGAAGCTCACTGACACATATCAAAAGAGAGAACACAGCGCTGCCCCTTCCCTTTCCTCATCTTTTGTTCACGTCTGGGCTATCGACAGAGAGGTATAAAAAAAAAAAAAAAAAAAAAAAAAAAAAGAAAAAGAAAAAATGTTTCCGGTGGTTACTGGTTATCAGACAATCGCCATGGTAATGGAAGTGACAACCGTAACCAAGGGAGACCGGCTGGCGCGCGGCGTGTCCCAGCAATCACTGCGCCAACCCTGATCAGACCAGACATAATCTTAATTAGAAAAATGATGCTGTTCACTCACTCTTTCACTCACCTGTCGGTCTGTCTGTCGTCTCTGTGCTCCAGAGCGCTCACACATCCAGCGCACACATCTGTTCATGTGCTACGACTGACAGGTTCACACACTATGGCTATTGAACGCACCACAGTCATGCAATGTTGTCAGCACTGTATCAAAACTAATCTGTTATTTAAGTAAGAATATGATTAGGTTCAAATACATTATGTCATAGGATTCGACATTACAAACGTACTGCATGAGTTAGTTGGACTTGGAGTTCAAAGGCAGTGTGTTTTCGCCTATATCTTACACACAAACATAACACACAAACACATGGATTCTCTGCATTCATTTAAACATACATCCAGAATGTATGGGATTGTTGATAAGCTGTATCGGCGTTTCCTTTTCTGACAGATCCGAGATCAGAAGTGAACCCACACTGCCAGTAACAAGTGAGGTGCCTGAGAGATGGCAACACATCAATGCAGCCACTGAGCCACTTCAAACGCCGGCACTGAGCCACAGGTGTCTCTCTCACACGTTCACACACAAACAAATACCAAAGCTGCCAGTTTCTGTCTGCAACAATACATCGGACAGGGTGTGTGCGATACCCCAACCTTTGTGCAACCAGACTGCTGATCCCCTGCTCTGTTGCATTGTATGAATGTGTCGGTATGTCTGGCGTAGTCTGTATACATATGTTGTGCCTTCACGTTCATTATCCTACCTTCTGTCCAGTCCCTGTGCAGGTTTTGTCTTCCTGAGGATCTCCGGGGCTCTGCGGGGTCAGCCGAGGCCCTTCCTCCAAACTCTCATCTGGGCTCTCCACTGTCAACCCTGACACCTCATCCAGGATGTCCTCTACAGGGACAAAGGACAGCGCTAACAAGGGAGCAAGTGTACATACAGTATACAGTATGCTGTGTGTACTAAACATCAGGAATCTCTCCCCAATACTCAGTTACAAATCTACATCCAACCTGCTCCAGTTTGTGTGATTCTCTAGACACTATGATTTGTGTGATATAGACATGTGTTTGTTTTAAGTCATGGAGATAGTGGCAGAAATAAAAACACCCTTATATCCTTAGTGTTTTGTTATTATGATATGATTGTATAGTCAAATTGGTTATTATTCCCTCCACATCCAGTTTATTGTCTTCCCTATGTTGAAAGGCCTCCTGTGTACACTGTCCCCTCTTAAGCATGATATCATCGATAACCTCCATCTGTCTGCTGAAGTGTTTTTACTCCCTGTCTGACCCTTTGCGTATGGCATATCCTACACAATGACAGCTCCACACCACTGAAGGATTCATATTAATATTCATAGTCCCCGTATAAACAATGCCAGCTTGTCAGCCGGTGCACTGCAAGCCCCAATTTATAAAAGGAATACAAATGGTGCCCTTGCACAGATAAAAAAAAAAAAAAGGGCAGGTCAGAGGAAAGCTGGCGGCTGCCTGCAGGTTAGTTATCAGACAGCATCCATGCATAATTAGTGCATCACCCTATTCACCCTCTGCTTAAAAAGACACATCAGGAGCTGTATTCTCCCTTTTCTCGCCACACAAACTCAAGGGTTTGGAGGGTGCATGATCATACAAAACGAGAAACATGAATAAAAACCGAAAAGGACAAAGACGGAGCACTGTGCAATTTCAGATTCCCAATCTAAAAAGGTAGTTGTCTTTTTTTTCCCCCCTCCAGAAACTCCACCAACTATGTTTCCAATATGCAGCAGTATGGATAATACTCATCTGATTTTAACTCTGTGTCCTGGATTAAGTTGTAGGTCAAATTTACTCTCCATTCTTTTGATGGCCCTCAACAAATTTTAAGTCCCAACTTGAAACTAACAAAGATTTGTCACTAGAGGACACTGTTTGTATACATCGTCTAGTGGAACTTGACATTGTCCAAGGCTAAATATGAACAACAACTTATAGAACAGGAAGCTTTACCCTGGCTCTGGGAGAAGATGTCTGTGGCTGGGTCCTGCTCTGCATCGGAGCGCCGCCGTGGCTGGGAGCACAGCACCCGAGGGTCCAGCTGGGGCAGGGTGCTGATGCTCACGGTCAGCGCTTGGTTTACAAATGCAGCCCTCATATCATCCATTTGGAGGGCAGATGCAGGTTTACCATTCAGCAACAGGATCTCATCTCCTGCTTTCAAACCTGGCAGGTAATGAAAAGACAAAACAATGTGAAATTCACCTTGTACAAGTGGCTCCTTAAAGGCTGAAAAATTACATTACATCCTTTAAAGTGGCTTAATTTTGCAGACACACATACACCGCAACAGAAAAAGGCTGACACAGTAAAAGCAACAAACAATAAAGTGAAAGGATTATCTGTCGGGCCATTACCAAACAACAAAGCGCCATCCAACAGAGGAGCTTTTTTTCTGTGGGCCATCAACTCAAGAGCGCTAATGTGTACAAATGATCAACACAAAACTTTAGCGCCATACCCCTTAACAGCAGCTCTGTGGCTCATCCTGTTGGGACTCTAATGCGTTCCAATACATTAAAGATTCATCCTTCCACGTTTGTTTGCTTGAGGCTAATACTGATTTAACAAGACTGGATGTATTTAAGAAGGAGGGTGCAATGCATGTCTATTCCCGTCCTGTCATTGTGTATATAGTCTAGTACGTAAGCACTATATACGGAAAAGAAACCACACACTTCACTAGAACGGGGACTCAGCTTGAGGCTTTTTCTCTCTAGCTCCTTCCTTCGGCCACCTGTGCCCGGTTCCGTTAATTGAGAATTAGCACTCAATCAGCCGACCAATTAGCAGGCAACCTCACCCAATAAACCTGATTGGCTGTGACAGCTGTTTAGGATATCTGACGGCAGTCTCAAAATTAAGTAAGACAAAGGGGCTTTGGTCCTGTTAACACAGTCACACATGAGCACATATTTGCTTGTTATCCTGTCTTCTGACTTTAGCCTCATTTTATATATCGTCTACTGTAATAGAAACAGCAGACACTCTATGATAGGGCTTTCATAATGCACTGCTATAAACAGACACATGCAGGCACATACACAAGGCACACATATAGCCCAAAGTTATGACCTAGTTGTCTGGGATGTGAAATGTCAGCTGTAGCAGAGTCTTTATTGGACAGAGAGAGAGATAACCCCTCTGGCCATATACTGCTGTGTGTGTATGACTGTGTGTGCATGTGTGTGTGTGTGTGTGTGTGCGCTTGCATGGGGGGGGAGGGGGATAAGGGACTACAGTGAGAAAGAGAAAAAAGAGATTGAGAAAAGACCCTTTGGGGCTCCTTGTCCAGCGCTGGCCTGGTTTCTGCATATACCCTGAAGAAATTGAAGCGTGATCTCTTTCACTCCCCATTCATTCTCCTCTCTCTTAGTAAAACACGTGCACGCACACACAGGTTCATCCCAGTAGCACACTTGGACCTACTAATGTCGTGCCTGACATATCTAATTCTGTGATTCAGCAAAAATATATAGTGTGATATTCCAAAAAAGATGCATTGCGTTGTCTGGATGCCACAAGCTTTTTCCATCTCTGCTCGCCTATAGAGGTGGAGAGTAGTTACAGTCTTGTCCTCTGGCTGCTAGCAGCCTGCTAAACTAGCAGCTTTTAGATTGCTAATACACTGGAGGACGTAATCTCACACTTGAGTAACCTTGGTCTGACCCTAGGGCACAATAATGGGGTATGTTATTTTCTATACATTAGTGTTGTATCTACAGAGCCGCCGTGTGTTTCTCAAACCCATTAGTTCTCTCTCGCTCTGTTAAGAAATAGGGGACCAGTGAATGGGAGTTGATCTCTGCACCTCTCAAACAGAGGTCAGATGCAGACAAAGGAATGCCGTTTTTCTTTTTAGCTCTCAGGAAAATAATAAATCAATTCACAATTTTATAAAAGCCAGTGATCATCAGACAATACAGACTACACGAGACTATAAAGTCTTTTTAGACATAATGATACAAGCACCCAGATATTTTTCTACTTTAGATTTTCACTTTGCTTTTTTATTTCATAGTTTTGTAGTTGGTTCATATCATGTTGACATCCTGATGTTAGAGGCCTTTACTGGTTGTGAAAGAGCTCTCTGTGGACTGCATTTCTAAGTTGTTGCTGATTGCCTTGTAAATCCTGAAAAAGGAGAAGCTGGGGTCAATATGTTGATCCATAGATTTTAAAATAAAAAGACTCCACCAGTCTTATGAGTCGCAGCTTTTGACCTACACCTGCAAAAAAACTACTTACTAGACAAGGTGTGTGTTTTCTTTTTCTTCATCTCTTCTCTCTCAAACAAAAGAAATCTAGCTGTGCTAGCTCATGCGATGTCATGTGGGAGCAGACGTTTGTCAGGTCAGGTATTTGTGTGTTATGTGTGCAATGTCAAGTCAAGTAAGAAATACTGTATGTACCCAGCTTTCACATACTGTTTACAGGCCCCCTGTTATTACTGCACTCAGATTCAACTGCGGTAACTGTCCTGGATTTTTGTGTTGTTTTGTTTGTTTTGTCTTCTATGTATGATATTAATATCAACTGAATGTACAGTACATCACACACTTCATGTTCTGTATGTTATCAAAAAAGAAATATGTACCTTTAGCTGCAGCCAGTCCCCCCGCTTTCACTTCAGTAATATGCAACTGCTGCGTTCCATCCTCATCTATAACAGCCACAGAAAAACCTACGGACACAGATAATTAGACACGGAAGGAGATTCACTCGTTAATTCTTTCAGTCCTCTTTGAAATGTTGACATTTGACAGTGTGCACTGCTGCAGCATAACTACTGAGCGATTAGATCCACTTAAGACAAAATGCACTCACAGTGGGTCATCCCCCTTCAGTCATTAACAAAGCATGACTCAATGAAGTCCACTACGAAATCAGTTTGATACACAATTTAAGAGTATGACAGGGGCTGAGTCTATCTAGTTCAAAAAGGGCTATTGTCTGAGACAAGCGTACCATATCCGATGGCGCAGGACTCGGCGTTGTCAAACTGGATCACCTTGGTCACTTTGGGGCAAATCTCAATCTCTTTGTAGAGCTGCAAACACAAGAAAATCATATTTAATTGTCAAAAAATGGAGGGAGAGCAGTGTTGTTGGACAAAGAAGGTCAAGGTCTTAGCTCTTAATAAAGAATGGATAGATTCATGTATTATTCAGGCTCCTTAACAGAGCAATTGCATTTCAAGGTTGTGGGGTCAAAATCCAGGTCAAGTCTGTAAAGTGAGTGGGTGCTCAGACGAGGGTTTGACCCCGCGGTGAGCGAGAGCACAGACACAGCTGTGTGTATGAAGCAACAGACAGGAACAGAAGTCTGTAGTGTGCAACGTGCTACACTGTGGAGAAATAATAATGTAATATCATAGACTAAGGATGAAAGAGGGTGACAAGAGTCACTGATCAAAGCAGCAAGATAAAAGAGCTCTTGAGGAAAATAGCGAGTTATACAATGATTGTGCTTTGAGACAGAGTTCAGTGTATCACCTACAAAGCACCGTCACACAGAGAATTCGTTTTGGGGTTTACAGTGACTGATTAAAGTGGAGGTGAGGTCTTTCTCAATGAGCGATTGTCTATATGAATAGTTAAAAAAAAAAGAAGACAGACACAAACACAAATGTGTACAGTTCATAAAGCACACAATAGAGTTAGGAGATGATTTTTGCATAATTTATAGTATATGCTATGGTGCTTCTTGTGCATCCTGGGAATTTTGTATGCATTGCAAATGAAATCTGCAACCAAGTCATAAAACATGCACAAGCTTGCAACCATATCTTCAAGAAATGAGACAGAAATGAATAATAATAAGGTGAAGACCCCAAAATCCAATTGGGACATTGTGTCTCAGCTAAGACTGAAAAACTGAAAACTTTAAAAGACACACAATTATAACTGTAGTGCAGATCTCTGATTTATTGAGATCGGCGTTGTCAGGAAATACTATAGCTTCATGGTTGTCCAGACTCCAAAAGTGGGATATTTACTCCATTACATTACAATTATCATCACAGTCCTTCAGTGTGTGTTTCCTCACCAGATCGGAGATGTCGTCTTCAAGTTTGGGAACAAAGAAGAGCATCTGGTTTTCAACCCACACTTTCAAACGCAGGTAGTGGCTGGATGGGTCTATCTTGTGCGTCTGCAGGTAACAAGACATGAAGCAAATGAGGAGAAATATATATATTTAAATGGAGGAAACTGCTGAAGTTGGCATGCTGCTTTCCAAAATAGGAGAGACATAATCACTCTAATTACTGCCATTAAACTCTTAACGTATGATTTATTCTCCCTGTGATTCTATGACGGTCATATTTTAAACTCTACGCTATCAAAACACAATTTCTTTTACCATTGCCACACTCTCTATAGCTCATGACATCCACTGACAAAAGGACACAGACATGTATGTATCCAATCATGTATGTAATCCACATATATCTGCGAACATGTATCACACAGGGGTCGTGAATTAGATGCTCCAATTCCTTGTGACATGTTTATGACATGCGTGCAGACGAACGCCCACGCATGCGCGTCAATCAGCTTTACGTGTTTTTCAGCAGACTCTTAAGTGGAACGTATACGTATCATTAGGCATTATTATTCTAGTGCGTCCCTGTCTGAGACCAATTAGAGAGTGCATGAGATGAAGGGAGATGAAGGGAGATGAAGGGAGATGAGGTGGAGCAAAAATTGACAAGACTATGTGTGACAGTAGTATGTAGTGTATATTGTAAGGTTTAGAAAATTACTAAGCAAAGATCCGTGACGCAGTCGGTCTAAGAGCACGGGCGACATCTCCACATTCACTCGCCTGTCTTCCTAGGAATACCAATCACAGTCTTACATCTCAGGTATTCTCAGAGTCACATATTCACCTGTGCATCTAATTATTATGTAGTTGTTTTCCTGTTACCGTGCACTGAATCTTAAAAAGTTGACTCCTACATATTTACCTGTCTTCAGCTGTCAACAGATTGTACATGATAGGATGTCATTATCCTTATGTAACCATTTATAGTATTCGAAAACCCCCCTCAGCGGACCTGTGTGCAATGTTATGAAACTCATTCCTCAATGATTGACAGACCTGTTAAGATGAAGTATTTGCATGCTTAGCAGCTCCACTGTTACCAGTTTTATGTGTGTCTATATGTGTGTGTGTGAGAGCTGGGCAAACTGTATATCACTTGACACAAGTGAATAATGTTTGGTCTGTCATTATCACACTTACACACAATGTATTGTACAGCGTGTGCTTCAACCTTACTAAAACAGACTTGTGGCTAATAAATAGTCTCCAGTAATATAACATTTGTCAATAATGGCCCACCTTGCAGACGGCGCTCAGGACTTCCAGCGCCGTCTCCCCAGGCTGTATGATGGCCAGGACGGGCTGATTGTTCGGCAGACACACCCAGGACGGAGTCAGGTAATCGGGGACCCAAATGTCGGTGTCTACGTTCTGCTGAGGAAGACTTTTCTCAGAGCTCTCTCTCTCCTTCTGCAAATACAACACACACACACACATATACAAACACACACACATACGCATTAAGGGTTTGTGCATCTCTGAGTAGCCTTTGTGCTCAGAGAAAAAAAGATATTCTATTATCCACAGCTAAAATTGTGCAGTGATTCCCCCCAATTCATCATTATTTATCTTCTTGCTTTCAGAAGAAACCAGATTTGCTTGGACTTATGAGACTAATATGACAGAGAGCGGCCGTGGCCTGAAAGCAGCAGGAGATCTGATTACAAAATCTAATTCATCTGTGTTGATGAGAGTCTCTTGATACAATTGCCTCCCTGTGTGGTCATGTGCTACATATGTGTGTGCACTTGTATCTTCATGCATGTGCGTGTGCATTCTGTTCAAAGCGTGGTCTGTAACCTTTAAGCCCGTCAGTCTGACCTCCGACAATCTGGCAACCATGTCAGCCTCTCTCCTCCTCTCTCGCTCGCCTCTTCTATTCGACCTCACACTGTCTGTCACTGATACCTTATCACCTCCTATCAAGTAACAGTATCCGCATTTATCCTTTCATTCCTCTGTCACTCCACACACACACGCACCCCCCCAACCCCACTAATCATTGCCTCTCCTTCTGGTGCCCCTTCCCCTCTATCTGTACATCAGTCCATCATCTCCCTCCTCCCCGTCTTCCATTCACGCCATACAATCTGCTGACAGTTAACAATCTGGCCCGGCGGTCCGTGTTGAAATGAATTTAGGCTTGGCTGTATCTGTGCCTGTGTGTGGTTCTGCGTGTTGGTTAGACACACAGTGAACCAGAGGAGGAAACGGAGGGAGCAAACCAGATGCAAACACACATTTTTGTGTGCACAAGCAAACACAAACACACACACACACACACACACACACACACACACACACACACACACACACACGCGCCCAGACATAGACCAAATTCAGACACACACAGCTATATTGAAACACACTCACTTACATTTTCTCTGTCAGACAACAGACCGGGGGGCCCGTAGCTAGTACCTCCCCCAACTCCCTGAACTCCCCAGCCCTGCTTAGCACCATCTGGCTCCCCTCCTGGCCCATCTAGGATGCCTCTGCTGGGGGGCGCGGTACACTAACCTCTCCTCTCTTATTCCCCCCTTTTTTTTTTTTAGCCATCAGTGGGATTTCCCCCGAACAAACAGAGAATTAAAGCTGGGAAAAGTCCATCAGATACAAACATTTGGAAATAATCTCGCTGGAAATGTTCATTGAGATCGTCTAAACCTTTGTTACTGATACAGCATTTTCCAGCTCTATCTTACTACAAACTGGGGTGTTTTACTTCATTCAGTGTGCAATTTCTTTATTGTAATCCCACACCCTGCCAGCTGAAGTTGGACGTGGGTGGAAGGAAATCAATCTCCCATGGTGCCACTGGGGGCCTCCACAGTCTGAGTGGGTTTGTGCTAGTTAAGTTTGCTCCTATCTGCTGAGTTCAGACAGAGGCCTGTATTCCCTCTCTCCCTCGTCTCTGCTTCCTTCTACCACTTCTCATAAAATATGGAGCTGGCATGCTTGTCCTTGCGACAACCCATGGGTAATCGGACATTTTCCCTTACAGTTCATATAAATTCATCAGGCTGTGGTGTGTGTGTGGCTCTACTGGAAACCTACAGTCCTACGGTGGCTTTAGATAATCTTGTTTTCTTTCTACAGATATTATTCATTATTTGCAATTGTCTGTAAAAATGTGGTCAATACGACAGATACAAGCGAGCACAGATGGTGTGAAACTGCCAGGTCCTTTGGTAGCAAATGCCTGCATAATTTGTTGAAACATCAGAAAGCTAATGATCTGAACATATCAGATCAAATTTGTCTCAGAGGGATTAGCAGACAGAAATATCCCTCCAGTCGATGGCCTATGATGCTGATGGAGTCGGAATTGCCTGGAGCAAGTGAAAAGAAGAAATGGGAATCTGTCAACACCGATTTGGAAATGGTGTTTGATAGACCAAAAAGATAGTAGAGAATGAGAATACAGTAAGAATAATGGCATTATTTCTGACAAAGACAGAGAGACTGCAGACCCAAGTTGTCCTGCAAAGATATGTGAAGCAAACAATTTGTCGACTGACGCAGGAGGAGAAACAGCTGCAGAAGACGAAAAAAAAAAGTTGTTCACTGCATCTTCCACGAATAAACTCAAGAACCGTCTGATAACACTGAAAGAAGAGATTCCGTTGCTCTTAAACTTTCATAAATCCGCTAATCTCTCCAATCACTCTTCATCGAGGAGAGAAGTGGATGTCTGAAAACATTAAAACAGGAGCTTGAAAATGACCTCAAAGAAATGCTCACTGATGCGGAAGGGTGCATGGATTTTGTGCTTCCCCCCAGATAACCCGCCAAATGAAGAGCCGGAGCACCAAAAGGATCTCAGTTAAGTGAAAAGAGGTGGAAAATCCAGCGATGTTGCTGGCCTCGGGGTCTTAAGAAGCCCGTAACCCATTATACAAGAACAAAGGTTCATCAGATGCCCCAGTGATTTTTATGCTGGCTTATGAGAAAGGCAAACAATGACAAGGAATTAGCCTACAGCTACATGAGCTTTGGGTCTGTGAAGTGAATGCCAAACTAAGAAACGGAGGAGGAATTTAGTGCTTAGCCTTAGGAAGATTATTACTGTAGAGATATAAACATTCACTGTATCTGCTGTGGGCTTTGTCATGTTGGTTTGGCTGCAGGAAGGACAAGAACCGCAGTGGAAACAGAAACAAGTTCAGGCCGACTTTATGTTACACTAACCATTTGGTATGTGTTTCGAGATGAGTAAAAGATAAAGAGAAGTCTTCTTGAGGGAGTCGTGAGCATAACATAAAAACACAATTAGACAACATAAGAACAAAATTCTATTATGGACATAAATATACAGGTGCATTTTTATTGTCTACTTGTATTTTTGTCAAGTACAGATGGCTGAGCGCTTACAGATTTCTCACTGGCAGAGTCTTCAAACATGAGCTCCAAAGGCTTCCTCACAGGCTCCATCCCATCAACGAATACCTGCAACCACACAGAGAACAGCACATTGGAGCTGCATCCAAATATATCACACACAGAGCAGTTATGATGCAGTTATTACAACCAAAAGGAACTCATTACTGCATTACTCTTACTAGCTTAAAGGTTTACCAATTCAAAAGTCAATCAAACACTTGTAGTATGGATGTGTCACTATGGAGACCTGGTTAATGGAGGGGTGTCCCTTGGTCTTCCTCTTAGAGGCGGTGTCCAGCCCCCAGAGGGAGGAGAAACGGCTTCGGCGTTTGCTGAAGGTACGAGGCATGGCCTGGCTTCGCCTCCTGATGCTGCTTTCAGTACGGGCCGACACCTGTGACAGTGATAATTACACAAAACATGAATTGGATCCAAACAGTATTTGAACCTTAACTATGGGCAATCTACCCTAATTGTTTTTTTTCAAGAAACTGATCGACATGCTTATGTAGTCAGTATAAGAGTCCTTCACACTGGTAGGTAATAATTTAGTTTTTTGCAGTTACAATTAATGCACTTTCAATTCACTTAAATTATATGTGTTACTAAGCTTTACCTATTTTACATCTAAATGACCTGCTACCTACAAAAGAAGAGACCAGCGTGGCATTGCCCACACAGCTTGTCACTGTCACTATGTATTAAACATTTGAGAGGCATTAAAGCAATATTATCTATAGATGTATATGTAACTGATAAATTGCATTTTAATGCTATTTAACTAATCCCCATTGGGAATTTTTCTTTTCTTTTGATATTTAACACTAATTTCACTCTTATGCTTTGTTCTTATTAAATGCTTGAGCAGCTGTTCAAATGAATGCACTAAGAAAAATTACGGGGACTGGGACACTATGTATGTATACTGTACACTGATAGCAGTGGCTGTCTGCGTTTGTGCTACGAGCCATTCCTTGCATTCATAGACACAGAGGCATGGAAACACACTGACACGTAAAATCACACATTTTCAGCATCCCAGTATACAGTTGTGTCACACACTGAGCCCTTTCAACCTCTCAGCTCCCTCAGTGACCTACTGCACATGCATAGAGAAACCACTCTTGGCATTTCTGGGTTAATTCACATTGAACTTGCTGGGCTATGAGCAGCTCTGACTCACTATATGGTACATGAATACATAATTTGATGCACATGTATGTGTGCACACACAAGCACATACTGAAGTTATGTGGGTGTGTGCTTATTGGTCTCCTCACCCGTCACTGCTCATGAGACACACACACTTCAAACATAATAGGTCAAACTGTCTTCAAGACTCTTCTTATGTAAGCTGCACGCAAGAGGCCTTTCTACAGCCTGTTTTACTACGACGTCTCCTTTGAACATAGATAACAACAACTCTGATGAATGGATGGAATTATTGTAGAAAGTAAAGGAGGAAAAAAATAGAGAAGTTCTAGTCTTAATTTTGTTACTGTATTTCAATGTAATTTACTTCCTTCAAATGTATGATTGTCCTCAAAAATGTGCCCATTTATATCAGTATTGTCTAACTCAATAATATAAATAAAGAGATATCTGGGAGACAAGAGGATGATAATGAACACAGCAGGAGAGAAGTTGGGAAAAACAGAGATGGGATTGAGAGACAGAGGAAGAAAGGGTGAAGAAAGACAGATGGGAAGAAAATAAGGCAGATAAGGAGAAGGAGAGAGACGCAGACAAAGGCAGTGAGGGTGTAGGCAGCAGAAGGAAAGGTTGGGGGGTGGGGGTGGGGGGCAGCAGAGCAGAGAGTGTTAAGCCTGTTTGTGGGAAAGTGCCTCAGGGATGGTAGCTTACTAACAGAGTTTGTATTGATCCACCAATCACAAAAAAAAACACTATCAGCCTCTGATGTTGTCTACGTGTGAATGTAATCGTTTGGTATATCCAATGGTCTGCTGGTATGAAACCGGCCTCCAGAGATATCGTTTCCACCTCTTCTACCTCTTTCGTTTCCTGGATGATATTTTGAAGAGCAGCCACATGCAGCCGCGTGATACACAGCAGCAAGCATGCTCTGCAGATCATCCATCAGTGGTTGTGTTTCATTCTGTACATTTTTACAGCGCTCAAGGTGTCGACAAGCTAAAGAGTCGGCCTCTAGCCACAGGCGGAAGCGGTGAGCACCAGTAGAGGAGAATTGGACAGTTGTCAGCATGCTCTGTGCTCATGTTGTTGTCAGGCTTTGAGGGACAGTGTATGAAAGGAATGTTCTGAATGTTTCGAGGTGAGGACAGTGTGTACATCTCGAAGTGAGGACCATTTAGACTTGCGTTGGGGTTAGGTTTATGTCAGTGCTGGTGTTTAATTGTCATATCATTAATTTTTAACTTCACTTCTTCACTTGGGAGTTACAACTGAGAACAGTCAAAATGACTTCCCTCAGAATAAATGAAAATGTGTAGTTTTACAAGATAGAGTCAAACCACTGAACGTTTCTGTTGTCTTTCTGTTGTAGTTACCCAACAATGCCAACACAATATGTCACAGCCGGAGTGAGTTTCACTCTGTATTTGTTTCTACAGGAAAATTGCTAATCTATTAGATTTCATTGTCAGGGCTTCAAAAATAGGCCCTAAAAATACAACCAGTGTATATTTGTCTGCATTCGGTTCTTTTTGACTGGGCAGATTCCAACATACAACATAAGATCTTTTGGTCAAGCTGCCTGCTACTTGCTTGTACAGTTGGAATACGTTTTAACCTAAGGCTACGTACAGTGTCTGTTAGTTTGCACATTTGTCAGGCAAGTAGAAATTCTTGCTTTCAGTAGGTGCAAGTGACAAGACGCTCAATCTAACAGCCAGAGAAACACACCCACTCTCCTGGCTGGGCTGGTATCAAGGGTGGGCAACAGGCAAACTCTCAGGCGATACCTACTGGAACATGTAGAGACACGTGGGACACAGTTTGAGTTTTGGATTGATATGCTTTGATTAGGTTTAGGAGTAAAAGTTGTGCAGAGTGTTGGAATGAGTACTCAGTCATGAGTACTGAAAACGTGCGCGCCTGAATGTGAGTGGGTGCACAGGCATTTGCGATCATACCAGCGCATGAAAGGAAGAAACTGAGAAGATGCCCAGTCGTCCCATGGCCAGCTTGGTCGGACGCGAAGCAAAGCCCAGCAGGCGTTTGGGGTTTGGGGGCTCGCCGCCTTGTAGACTGGCCAGGTAGCACCGACAGCGGAACAGATCCATGTGAAACCGCTCCAAGTTCTGCTCCCACAAAAAGATCTAACAGAGGGAAACATGAAAAACAGTAAAAGGGATGGATTTGTGATTATGTAACATAACCAGACTTTGCTTTTGATTAGGTCCAGATTCATCTATGGAATCACCAGTAATGAAGACCACAACAGTGATAAAGAGAAGAGAAATAAAAAAGATAAAATATGCATAAAAGATCACTCCGTGTTCGATGGTTATTCGGTCGTTTCGGGAAGCGTGAGATGTGGGAGTGCTGAAGCCCCTGTGGAGAGGTATTACTCACCAACACAACCCCCACCAGTCGGTGACCTGTTGTGCTATGTGCAATGTATCACAGGGTGGGCCGTGGGAGGTGGAACACATGAACACACACACTCACTATGCAACACACAACCTAGACTTAATTTGCACTGATTCCTGCCTTCACCTATTTGTCCCCAGACTCAGTACAACGTTAATACAGCTGCTCTTTCCTCGAGTCTTGAATTCGACATCCCAAGCTTGTCTTATGTAAACTCACTTTGTAGATTCCTGTGGTCCCAGATACTCATCTTGAAAGAAGTCAGACCTGACTACTCAGGTTGAAGCTTTTTCACTCCTTTCATCCCAAATGTTTCTATTAATGTTCCTTTATAATCGGCAAAACCCCAGTGTTTTCTCAGAAGTGGAGAGTGTTCTGCATGATTGAGATTAACCACTTCCAGCTGCTTTTTTATGTAATATTTCTCTTTGGTCTTCAGTCTTTGATTGACCATCAGCCAAGTGCCCCACACATACAAAGACAAATAGGCTCGCACAAGGAGGCCTATTGTTGGTGAGCAGGTTCTTAAGCTCTCTTTCAATGTTTACATGCAATGCTGCTCTGACATTCAGCAGCAACTCCAGACATGCATAGCGTTATAAGACTAAAGCTATAGGCTATGTCGCGTCGAAAGTGAACAAACCTGATCCGAGGAACAGCTTTGACATTTCAGCTGTGACTGCAAAAAGCTCTCAAAACGGCAATTAAATATAAAAGGATTAGCAAGAGGTTTCGGGTTCACCTGCCTGCTCATGTATGCACTGCATAAGTTTGGACATGTGCTATGAATATTCTGCATTCTGCTGCACTTGCCTGTATTTATCAATGAGCCAGTCGGAATATCTGAAAACATCTGTCGGTGCAAGTGCTCCTTAAGAACATTTTGTCCGGATGATGCCATGCAGTAAAGATGATTTATTGCACAGACTTCAGTTTGTGAGATCATCAGTGCAGTTCAAAGGCACAAAGATGTGCATCTTTAAAGCCCCTTTGGTTGTTTTCTCTTAACTCGAGTGGAAGCTTGAGACACTCATAAGGGTGCTTAACACATGGCATCACAAACCTGGTTCATGTCAGCATCACATGGACATAAAGCGTGACTAATTTGCAGTGCGATAATATAATAAAAACTTAATGACACTCAGACTTTATCTTGTGTTTAGTGGGTATTCCTCTGTTTTTTGATCTTGACTGTTAATACTAACTAACTTTAAACTACTTGACTATTTTCAGTAGCTCAACATAACCGATCGCTCGCCTCCATACCTGCTCCAATATGGTCTTCCTCTTCTTGCCGTCGGTGACGGTGGACAGCTGCATGTCTCCCATCTTCTTCATCTTCTCGTCCATGTCGATCTTCTGCTCCAGCTTGCGGATCTCGGTTCGCAGCAGCCGCACCGTGTCCTCCCTGTGGTGCTGCCGAGCGAGAGCAGCGGCGCATGCAGAGTGGATCGCCGTGATCCAGTTCTCCAGTTCTGTCTGACCTGACGTCTGATAGAGGATGAAAAAAATAACAATAGAAATAAGTTGAAGATCTTAAGACAACAGGTCACAACGGTGGGCGAAACAAATTAAGAAATTGACAGCGAAAAGAATTGAAGTCCCGTTATTAGCCTCTGAGAGAAGCTGGTCACTATAATCTCATCATCATTTTATTACTTATCTTCCCATTCATTGATTGAATGTCACTGTAGACAGCTGCCGTGAATACAAATAGACACATTTTAATATTACACAATGGTCACTGTGGTGGATCACTGTCACAGTATGACAGTGTGGCCTTTAAACATGTCAGACATAAAACAAACACATGGACACAGGACTGGCTTATCTCCCACACACGGCTAAATGTCATGTACTTGTGCCACACACACACACACGCACGCACACACACAAACAAATCCCCAAGAGAAATTATGTATTCCTATCCATTTTTGTCTCTCTTGGTGATCTGCTGATTTCATTTAGTCCCAAAACACAATGAAATAATTAAAAATCTCTGAACCCAAATGATCTATTAGACTATGAATTACTGCTATTGCTTCAGCCTTACTTGTAATCTTGATCAAAATACTTCCCATGCGCCTTTGTTTTGAAATGAACACATCTGTTATGTGACATGGATGTTTTAAACACCAGCGTCTCTCTCACCTGGAAGAGGAACGCGTCTCCCACTGAGTTGCTGAGGCAGAAGACAAAGTCTTTCTTGGGGTGTTCAGGTACGGCCTGAACGATGCTGTTCTCCACCCACAGCGCGTGCTTAGGAACGCTGTTATGGTCGATACCCGAACGACAGTCTGACTCGTACAGGAAAAGGGTGCAGCCTTGAAGACAACAGAATAGACAGATGGCAAAAAAAAAAAAAGACAGGAAAAGGTAATTTAATACTGATGTCACGTTAAATAAATATAAACAAGGATTTTCAGTGCTACATTGTAATGTTATACAAACATTGATGATTGGAACAAAAAAAAAAAAAGAGAAAAGTATTTAATCCCTCATTGGTATTCAAGCGAAAAAAATGTATGAAATTATGGGTCTACATTGTCAGTAACATGAGGTCAGGAGGAATATCAGGAGACCGTCAAATGTGTTTATTTTAGGAGCGATGGATTAAAAGAGAAGAGGCAGGAAGGAATGCAGCTGCGGATGCTCTATCTATCTTACGCTGCATTCTGAGAGCACGAGAGCGGATTAGACACGGATGCCGCTGTAAAATTAAATTGTGATGGGGCCGAGGTGAGGCAATGTAAGGCCACACAGAAGAGGGTGAGAGAGGACGGCAGAGGTGACAACCAAGGGCATGGGCTGTGTTAGGACTGATGTGATTACAGTCTAACAGGATGGAGGGAGCGAGAGATTAAACAGGCTGAGGTCAGGATAAGATGTTTATCTGAATGAGACATTTTGGCTGCATGATTTTGTCTGAAAGAAATTGTTTGATCTTTTTTTTTTTCCTACTACTTGGATCTGTTAGTCATTTAAGAATTTTGATTTTGTAGGTAACTCAATTTTAGATTAGTTAGATTTTAGCTGCAGAGGCATTTAAGGGCGTCCTGGTGGTCGTTACATCACGTAACCACAATGTCCTCAGTTTGAATCAGGATGGAAACATGCAGCCTGCTGCCCCACAGTTTCTGTCACTCTCCATTAAAAAACTATCAGACACAGGTAAAAGGCCAAACATAATCTTAAACATAAAAGTATAAGACTCTATGCAACACCTTTCAGAGAAACCCAGTAGTGTTTCCACTTGCGCCTCGTTGCAGGTTCCACCTTCTTGTTTTTCTTATGAACCAGGAAGTTCTTCACAGCCAGAGCCCCCGCTTTCCTGACTGTGCCTTGTGCGCAGCCGATCAGAGTGTCCGACGGATACGCACTACTGAGCGTGCCGCTGCTCTGCTCATCACTCACAGCGGAGCCAGCCTCCTCCGTGCAGTCCCGACCCTGATGTGTCTGAAGAGAGAGTGAATTGTCAGTGTCAGACATGCCGACGAATATTACAAAGGCATGCACATACACACTTGTGCTAAAAAGTAACTAACCCAGGCTTGATTGTCCAGCTCCTTTCGGAAATTCTCATACACTCCTCCCCTTCCTCCTTCGCCACCTCTTCCTTCTCCTCCTCCTGCGCTGCTGCTTCCACTGTCGCTGCCGTTGAAAACACTGCTCTCAGTTGCCGAGTACACCGAGAAGGAGGCCGACATGGCCTTACAGCGCCGTGACACCAACTCTCCGTCCCCGTCTATCTCCGCGGTGACGCCGTCAATGCCACTGTCACCATACTCACTTCCCTCGCCCAAAACACCCGAGATGTCCTGTCAGCCAGAAATACAGGGTGGAAAGAGAACTGATTTACTTATAGATTATTAATGTATAGACAGAAACCGATATATTTGGATAGCCAAAATATGCACATGCACACACAAACTGGTGAAACTACAGATCAAAGTCACCATAGTCAAAGCTGCATGAATGACCAATCTGCCAGTCTACAGGAGGTCATAACACAAGAGGTCATTTCTCTCCAACTGCAAGAATCAACCTGGCAGCTTATGCCACACAAGGGGTTTCTGGGTGTATGTTTGTGTGCCTGTGTGTGGGTGGATGCGTTACATGTTTAGCACATATTTAGCCACGGGTTTCTGCTACATGAAGGCTTTTCACTTTGACAGAGGGGGTTCTCCGCGCTTTCATACTTTTATTTCACCAAACTGAGGCTCCCTCTGTTCTTTTTCTCTTTGTTTTGCAGCATTGTGTCGATCTATTTATATCCTGTCTAACAACCCCCTCAGCCTGGCTAGATGAATTTATAATGAGCACTTAGGGTGCTCTGCTATCCAAGGGTGCTTGGGGGTTGTGGGAATGAGTTGAAAGAAAAGCCTGGTTTGCTATTTTAGTACTTCCTTCTGATTTGGCAAATTTTTTTTTTTTTTGAACAATGACACATGGAAATTACAGAAAACATATAAACATATTCCACTGATCGTTTTGTTTGTGTCCACTCTCATTAACTTGGTTTCTTTGTGATACCTCACAGTGAATTTCTCTTTTACCCTTTGAGTGAATCTGCCTTTGGAAGATTGTGAGATAAGCTTGTAAATTCTGATCAAAATGTCACTGTGTGTGTATTTATGCATGTTAGGACAGTGGTTAGTGAATGGGGAATGAAAGATGTTATGCTTTACTGCTTTAATTTCTGGAGGGGGAGATGGAGAAACCAGGCCATCGTTAGACAAGTTCGCCCCACAGCGACTTTACTTATCTGACTCCTTATAATCCATTTCCCCACTACACAAATATACACTCATACTTGGATGTGCAAACATAGAACATGCACACACACAACTGCAGAGCATGAGCACACACAGGAAGTGTATCTGGTTGTCAACAAAATGTTAATTGGTGGATTGACTGGTGTCCTCTGTCATATCTGTGAACCCCCTACACTTCCTGGACACTACTAGTAAACAAAGTCCTCTTTCTACATTTAGGGGTCTATATTTCAAGGGAACAAAAAAGACTGAAAGACTTTAAACTAATTACTGTTTCAACTGCTTTGTATATTCATTCACACATTGCTGAAATGTGATCTAACCTGAGTAGTTTGTGCGCGGCGTCCCTGGAAAGCCGGGCACGGTGCAGCTGGGATGCCGAGCCCTGCCAAGCCCTCAGACAGGCAGTGGGACCGTCGGCAAGGGAGCGTGAACGCTCCATACCCGCCGCCATCCTCCTCAGTCGGAGACATCAACCCCTCCTCCCCTTCTCCATCTCCATCACACTCAGCCTCTCTCCGGTTTTTAGCGTAGCGGCTCCTCTGCCCCCTGAGGCCAGGGCTCTGCTGGCTGCACAGATGGTCCAGAGACGATGCCCTTTCAGCTGAGCCTGGAACATACACACAGGTGGTTATTGCGGGGCGGGGTGTGTATTCGTGTGTGTGTGTGTGTGTGTATGTGTGTGTGTGTGAGCAAGGTGAGGTTAGTGCATTCTGATTACTGTGCGAGTGTGTGAGTGTGCACCAAACCCATACATTATTCTGAGCTAGCCTACCACCTGGGGCATTGCTTAGACCTTCAGCAGTTAGGTTACCAGCTACCGCCTGCTGTCATGCTGAGCTCCAGCAGCTCCTGCACAGCCCCAGTTAAACTAACAATCCCATGATCAACAGAACTACGGCAAGTGATGGATGGCGGCTAACCTTCAATCAGCAGACTCTCTCAAATCATTTTTCCCTGCTCGGCAATTTTTCTCAGCTCCCTCCCTCCCATCACCTGTAAAGTGAATCAAATCAAGCCGACCCTCCTGCAAACATGCTCTGATGTACACATATATAGGAACATTTTATTTTCCATCCATCAGTCGCCATTCTCTTAGAAAGCTACAGTGGTGCTTTTTGAGAACTATATAACGAGAAAAAAAATTCAGAAATTTCAATATCTACCATTTCAAGACAGGAAATGTAACTTGACTTGACTTAACTTGAACTTGCTCTGATGTTGCCAATAGCAATGGATATGCTTCCCAATTACTATGTGAGAAAATTGAATATGTATTCTGTAGGTTTACAATAAATAGTAAATAATTTATGTTTACCATCCTCACCTGCACTGGGCCGTGTGAACTGTTCCTCCTCCTCTTCTTCTCCTCCATCCACCATCTCCTCCGTGCTGGTCAGATGCTCCTGACTCAGGTCAGACAGAGAGAACTCCAGGCTGTCTTCTCTCCACATGTCCGCCGACTTCGACCGCTTCTTTTTAAAGCTCCCTCCCTCCCGGGGGCCCTCAGTCATCCGCTGGAGGTACCTTTCCTCTCCAACAGCGTCTCCCTCCCCCTCCCCCATGGAGTCCTCTCCTCCATCCTGAGCAACAGTGTCCGCCTCTGAGGTTTCGGGAGTTGGCGTGGCCAAGGGGTCATCATCCTGCTGGTAGGACTCTGGCCTCATTGTCATAGCGACGCGCTGTGTCCAGTGAGGGTTGATGCCAAACTCCCCGAACGCATCTGTTGCGTTGAAAGGTTCCAGTCCGTTCTCTGCTAACGACTGTGGGATGCTCGGCGTGCTGGAGGAGCGGGTTGAGGCTTCAGAGTTCCTGTGTTCCTGTTTCACTGAAGAAGAGTGGCGGGAGCGGCGGGTGATCGGCTGCTTGCTGGAGAGACGGAGTGAGCGGGACGTGTGCTTACGGGAGAGTTGTCCCGTCACATCGCCATAGAAACCACTGTCCCCATTCTGACTCTCCACGTTTCCCATGATTCAACTGTGGATGAAGGAAGTAGGTTGTGTGAAACATATACATCTTAGAAATGTTCCCATTATCCCTTAATCTAGACCATGACTAATTCGTGCAAGTTAATAAAGTAGTGACCTAAGTGTTTTACAACTTCTTATTGGTGTGCGCCACATCTGTGCTTTATATCAAACATCTGTGTTCATTAACTAGCACACTGATCAATCTGAGGTGCCAGATCCCTCCTCGGTTTAAAACACAGAGTATTGCATTCATTAGAAAAAACACATAACAACATGCATCTGCCAGCTGCTTGTAATGCATTTTCTTTTATTTAATTAACTTGTTATACGGGCCAGTGCCTTTGGGGAGGTCAGAGAAACTAACAGAAGAACACACGGCAACTCTTAAGTGAGATTGAAAGTACTAAGAGGAGGCTGTTCAAAGAAATAACAGATAAAACAACTTGCAGCAACTATCAAAATCCGTCATTTACTGCAGTGGATGCTTGGTCAGATTCAGATATTTACTGTAATCTTATGTAAAGTGGGTTTTGTTAAAAGAAAAAGAAAAGGTTTGTGGAAAAAGAATGTCTTACTCAGCAAAATCAAGAATTGAAAAAAACTACTTAGTTTTAGGATTGGTGCCAAAACTCACGTATTGCATTGGCAGTGTTAACGGAAACCTTCAATACCCAGCTCCTAAGTGGTGCGATGCTTTAAGAGCGAGATATCTTTTGTTGTGTTTTCACAATTCCCCACTGAACTGGGCTGAGTGCTGTTCTGCCTGTGATGAAGTGTGAGCTGGTTACAGAAAGTTAGAGACTGTTGCCAGTTTATTTTAAAATCACTGTGAGATACACAGTCTGTTTTCAAATATTTCAAACCACGCAGCAGGTTGTGCTTTCTAATGGCATTGTCAAAAACATTGAAGGCACTCATCTGCAGTTCTTACACAGCTCTCTGCTTTGAGATTCAAATTATGATCTGACGGACAAGGAACTTTGTTAAATGGGTTGTTTACATATTCATATTTTACTGAAAAGCAGGTCAATCACTGTGCTGGATGAGTGGGTAACCTTTGATGTCCCATTAACTAATGGTGGGATTTCAAAGGTATCCAGGAGCTCTATGAAGGCCATGTAGGGATCAGGGGTCAGGTATCCGCTGAGCTGAGGTGGAAACTCCCTATCCAGTTTTTGGCTACTTTACCTGACCTGAATGTTCGGACAACACACTCACATGAAGTAGCACAGGGACAAAAAAGTGAATTAAACTTAACTATTTAGAGAAAATCAAAATCCCATTTCCCCTTTTAGTGGCTACAAAGACTTTTAAAACTTTAAAAATGTTTTTTTTCCTCATATGTTTAAAAGTTGCATCACAATTTAATCATTAAAGTTAAAACTTTAATTAATCTTGGTCTTTGTCACTTGTACTTTATGATCCTACACATTCATGAATCCTTATCATCTTGTTTGACGCAACGACGGATGGACTAATCTCACTGCAGCACTTCTCTCCCTCTGCACTGCTCAAATTATGCATCAGCCATATTCCCAGATGCAGTTAAAATGATCAAAGAAATCCGTTTTTAGCTGCATTCTGTTGATCACAAAGTTATCTCAGCATCCTGCTTCACCTCATGCTCTCTGTTATATAAGCACATGGAGCTGCTGAGTCAACTGCTGTCAGATCAGCTGGTCCTCTGTGAGTCACACATCATCAAACCTACACCATCAGGTTCTCCGCGTGGACTCAAACTGCAGAGAGAGAATCTTTCCCAACGAGATAAATTCTGTTTTAACAACTCATTTAATCTTGTATTTAGAACCACCGCCTTTAAAACAAATACAATATTCAAATTCAAATAAACTGTTAGGATTTTAAAATTCAATACAAACCAAATCACTAATCGACATACTGAAGTGTACAAGCTGTGGTTACCTGTGGTTAAGCAGCCGCATCACCAGCATCCCCACCTCACTGTGGTGTCGCCTTTCACCGACTGCACGATCCTGCACACATCCTCAAACGGTGGTGTCAGTCCGCCCTGAGAGGAACAAGAAAAGAGAGAAGTGTTTCAACGGAGCTCTCACAACTTCAAAGTGACCCGATGTGTCAAATGCACAGAGAGGAGGAGAGAGACGGCGGGAAGAGGAAGGTGCTTCTGCAGGAGGATCTGCCAGGTATGTTACATAAAGCGGGTGAAGTAAAGTTGAAAGTAAAGCTGTGAAGCGCAGCGGAGAGGGAATGTATAGGATGAGAGACAGCATACAGGATGAAAGGGAATAAGGGACACTTGGGTCAGTAAGCCTGGTGTGCAGATAATGCAGGGAGGCAAAAAAAAAAAAAAAACAACAAAAAGACAAAACAAGAAATGCACATTAAAATGCACACATATATACAAACTCACTGATCATCAGAAACAAAGCACGGAGGTACAGTCTGAGCCTGAGGGGCGAGAAAAAAAACTCACAAACAACCGTATTTTCTTTGAACTGCACCCTGAAACTCTCTGCCAACCAGAAACCACACAGGCATGTACAGGCATGTGCACAAAACATTTTGGGAAAACACCCCTTGTTTCCCTGTAGACAAAGAGATGCGTGCACACACGCACACACATACACACTCACACACTGTAAAATGACAGGAGATGAAAGCAGCTATGCAGTGTGATTTTCTGCTTAAGACTCAATTCAATGATCCTTACCAACACGACCTAATTTTCTCTAATACCAGCCCTGAGCTGCTTAGAGTAGACCATGATTTCCATAATGTGCTATGTATAGTGTGGAGGTATGCAAGTTCAAGCCTGCTTGCTAGCGTGTAGATTTGCACATATTTTCAGTTCATAAACCAGATGAAAATTATTAATTTGGATGTATGATCCCTCTTGGTCAGCTAGCATAAGCATTTAGAGGCCCCTGGCAGATTAGCTGGGAGACTGACTGCTGCCCACAGTGCTGCAAACACTATTGTCAGATTAGTTTGGGTTTTGATAAGGAGGGAAATTATGTAAAAGGAATAATTTCGCTGCCATGTGAAAACAAAGACAAATCTGTTGCAAAGCAGATGTCAGTCAGCACAAGGTCTGTCATTTTAACTAGACATTTCTGTTTTTGCCTCATCAATTTGTTCCCTCAGGGCTGCAAGACTGGTCTAACGTTACTGCCACCAAACTTTGACTGAAGTGGCTGTGTTTTTAAATCAGATCAGATTGTTCACAGAAATACACAGAGATGAAAGTGCAGATAAAGTGAAGCAGAAAAGGACAATAAGAGAATTGCTGCACAGCGTCTCGTTTCACCGGTCAGCTCTGACGTTGCGCCATGCCAGCATGTGTGTGTTCATGTATTTTAAACATAGCCACTGTAGCACATTTCACCCCAGCTGTGGGAAGCGGTTACATAAGCTAAACTTGACCCTGATACTTCTCCTCCTCCTCCTCTGTTCGTCCTAACACTCCAGTCTTTATTATTTCTCATCCGTCCTCCATCCCATCCGGCCTGATGAGATTCATCCCAGCCCACATGCTGGCCCCCCACCCGTAAAACAAACAAAGACACACACATTATCCTCCACACATAATGCTTGACAGGTGCTGGATATTCATTTTGGAGCTGGTCCTGATTTCCTGTTAAATCTGGCATCAGTTTACTTTGGTGATAATTAAATTTGTGCAACAAATATTGGTTATTTAGTACCTCAACTCAGTAACTCAGTAACTCAAGACATGCAGTTCATCTACATGTATATGTCTGTCTGTCTGATTCGGAGGGGCGGAGGTGAAAAACACACACACACACACACACACACACACACAAGCACAAACAAACAAAACCATCCTGCCTAACACAACACAAGGGAAATCAAACCACTGTCTTTCCTCTGGCGGTGTACAGTCTAAAATGTTTAGTCTCTTCGTTTTTCCGCTCCCCATGCCCCGCAGCAAGGCACGGGAGACGGAGAGGGGGTAACGAGGAGAGGGGAGAGAGAGCTCACCGCAAAACCCACGTAGAGCTGAGAGGTGAGGCAGGGCTGAAGGCGAAACACATGAGGAGGGAGGGCGCCGAGGTTGGTAGAGACAGAGGAGGCAAAAACATATGGGGGTACTGTGCTATGAATAGAAGTTTGGTATGGAAAAGTGAGACGGGGGGGGGAGGAAGAAATGAAGACTGAAAATGAGAGGGAGAGATAGACAGAGTTATTTGGGGAGGGGGGTCCTATTGTTGCCGAGCTTCAAGTGGATAAGTAGACATGTGCTCTGGCTGCCTCTCTTCGGGCTTAATTGAGGGAGGCGAGACAAAAGGGGAAACATAATTATTCGCTCTCTTTCTCTCGGTCTCTCGTTCTCGCTCTCATTCTCGCAGTATATTAACACATTGAGAGAGTGTATTAACACAATGGCCTGAGCAACAGCAGCCAAGGCATCATTACCACACAGATATGGCCTCTCACACACAAGCACATGCACTGAGAGGGGGGGACAAAGAACAATTCCATAAATGTCTTAAATATCAAGTCCCTTCACTTCATATTTATATTTATATTTGATTTTTATTTACTGAATTTATCACCAACAAAATGTTTAAAAAGCAGATTTGTTGTTTTCCAAGCGCACAATAGAAAACTCCACTGGCTTCTGGCCTATAAGGGGACACAAAGTGAGACGGAGACAGAGCCGAGCATCGTGCTGGGACTGGAAGTGCCTCTTAACTGCGATGTCAGAAACAACTCTGTACTGGAGCTCTCAAACTCACGTTGCCACATTGTCACAGCTGCTTTAAAAGACATCTATCACCTAACACGTGAACGCAGACGCTCTCGCCAGCAGGTAGCTTTCTGTGGCATACACTGGAGGACAATAGAATAAAGGCAGACATGCTCCCAGGCACACACACACCTGCACAATCCCTGGAGAAATGCGAGCAGGTTTTTCAGACTCACACACATGCTCTCACACTGTTTGGAAAAATACCAAAGGCCTGTCAGAACAGCCACAGAGCGGGAACACCCTTCTTCCCCCAGCCAATCTTTTCATCTCTGCACCTGTCTCGCAGCTCCGCCCCACATGACACACAGCTCAGTGCTCCAGACTGAAACCACACATGACGTGGATGCGCACTACACTGTACGACAATGCTCTGTGAATGGAGCCAAACGAGACCTGTCTCATTGGTTTTTTTTGTTTTGTTTTTTTAAGCCTGTCATCGTCTACACCACATTGTCGCTGTCGAAATCAGACACAGATTTCACGTTATGAAATCACTAAGCACCTGTATTAAATGCCCTTCATTCCCATCATAAATGCACTTCATATAACTAATGTAAACCTGAGGAGTACAGTGAGGATCCCATCCATAAATAAAGCAAGTGTTTAAACAGGTAAAGGTGACACATCTTTCATTTGGTGTATGTTTCATTGTGGAATTAAAAGCGTTGAGGTTTTGCTGTTTAACTGATATGTAGTTCATTCATTCATTCATTTGTCCACTTGTTTAAAACCTCGGAGGACACACTGAGGTAGAATCCCTCATTTTAAATGGTGCCGAGGTAAAGACACATAATGACTGCAAACACAATGCAGACAAAATAAAATCAAACAGCAATAAATGAAGAATTCTTTTCAAATAAGGTAGAAGTGACAATGATAAAAGTGTAGGAACTGATAAAGAGACAAATAAATGAATAAGAACAATGATGAATTATTAGTCAAGGGTTTTATCCAGGTCCAGGCTTTGTGTCATCAGCACGTAACCTGTAGTCACTGTGTGTCACACATTACAGGATACGAAACCTCAGAAGAGTCTCACACTAGTTTAAGACTGAATTAATATAATTTCTTATTTCAGATTAACAGCTGTTGATGACAGGATGCATAGCTCTAAAGACTTTTATCATCTCTTAAAATGTTTTCGGGGACCTCATTGTTAGAATTGAAACATTATTAAGACAATAGTTCTTACTGCTGTGTTTTGTCACTCAGTGTTTTCTCTTTGTCATTCCTGACTTCCCAGTGAGTCTAATGAAAATAACCCAACCTCAGAGAGACACTGAAGGTGCACAACAGTAGTGTCTAGACACTTCTGCAACCAGAGTGGCGCTCAGCTTGACTGGGCTCTCTCTGACCTTTCTCTGCACTCTTGAACCACGACCACCAGCCCCCCCATCAAGCCTCAAAACGCATGAAGCAATCATTGGACTCACCCTTCCCTTAAGCCTTTTTCCCACCCCTTTCACATAACCCACCCTGCTCCTCCTCCCTCTAGGCAGGGAGTGAAGTCGCTGAGGTTAACGCTCTCTCTGGGGGGTAAGTAAAGGAATTCCTGAATGGGGAAAATTTCGTTCCTAGCAAGTCAAAATAGAGTACCATGGGAATCCTGGAGAGGGTTTTTTATCAGTACGTCTCCATGCGCCCTGATTTTGCATGCACACACCTAGAGAAATGCACACCCGCAAACACGCATGCCTGTACACCGGGGCTTCCTTGTTGTTGTTTACGCTGAGCAAACCTGCTGAAAAAGATAACAAACACACTGTGAATAACATGCGAATCAGGACGAGGTGCAGGAAGGCTCAGTGGTCCAAACAAATAAGGATCAGGGACTTATCCGTTAGTGAGTGTCTGTATGCGCACACCTAGGTGTATGTGTATTGTTCACATTTGAGGAGCAACTGTATTTATCCAGTGCCGAGATAGCAGTCAGTTGCGCTCTGAAATCATCCTATTGTAGAGATAGGAGCGCACACTCCACTGCACTCCCACAGTCCCTCAGAGACGGGACTGTCTCAGACATCACTGGTAGAATTCCCTGGAAGAGGGAGATTAGCTTCTTATTCATCCTTTCGGGATCTGACAAGACACGTGGGCCCCCCCCCCCCGCTTAAACACACACATGCACATACACAAACATCGTGCCTGCAAGCATGAGTCTCGGCTGCTGCTTAAATCAAACATTAATTTCTTCTACGTGGTGAGAGACAAAATTATAATTCCTTCCTGAACGACGCTCTCAGAGGAGGGCCAAGCATAAAAATGACAGAACA